GCTAGTTTCCCCTGCAGCAAGGCCATGTCCTCTCACCATCCTACTGACCCAGTGGAGCTACGCAGAATCAACTTCCAGACCCCAGGTAGGCTGTACATACACACAGACACACACACACACATACACACACACACACACATACACACACACACACATACACACACACACACACACACACACACACACACACACACACACACACACACACACACACACACACACACACACACACACACACACACACACACACACACACACACACACACACACATACACACACACACACTGGTCTGGTGGTCTTCAATGACTTCTCTGGCTGTTTCTTTTCCTTTCAGGAGGTTACCGTATATCAGCTTTCCGCGGCTACAAACGATTGTCAAGTTAGTCGGTGTTCGTCCTCTCTCTGGCTGACTAAACCATCCTACTGTTCATTCCATCCCCATTTCAGGAACAACGGCTTTTGGAAATGGCAGAGTAACTTTAACTGTCAAGGCGCCGCTAATATTTTGTCATGCATCGTTTGTTCTGTTTTGTGCTGTTTGGACTCCTGAATAATTGTACGACAGTGTGTTTTAAAGACTTGTCATTTTGCTTTCATGATGTATTTAAGATGTTACCTGACCTGGGTCTGTTTTCACAAAAGCATCTCGAATGCGAAGTTTCATCGTTAAGGGCGGCAGGTAGCTTAGTGGTTAAGTGCGTTGTGCCAGTAACCGAAAGGTTGCTGGTTCTAATCCCCGAGCCGACTAGGTGAAAAATGTGTCGATGTGCCCTTGAGCAAGGCACTTAACCCTAATTGCTCCTGTAAGTCGCTCTGGATAAGAGCGTCTGCTAAATGACAAAAAAATTTAAAATGTAGAACCTTCGTAGGAGCATCGTTAAATCTCAGAGCTGTTTCCCAAAACTAAAGTTGCACTTGAAAACACTTTATTTTCAGACCACTCGTAGAACCGCTAAGTGCGTCGTTAGATGCTTTTTTTGCCCTTCCGCATTATTATAGGGTAGACTAGGGTCTCATCCTCAGCATTATAATCTGTGATTTAGTGTATTATTATAGGGTAGGCTAGGGCCTCATCCTCAGCATTATAATCTGTGATTTAGTGTGTTATTATAGGGAAGGCTAGGGCCTCATCCTCAGCATTATAATCTGTGATTTAGTGTATTATTATAGGGTAGACTAGGGCCTCATCCTCAGCATTATAATCTGTGATTTAGTGTGTTATTATAGGGAAGGCTCTCATCCTCAGCATTATAATCTGTGATTTAGTGTGTTATTATAGGGTAGACTAGGGCCTCATCCTCAGCATTATAATCTGTGATTTAGTGTGTTATTATAGGGTAGGCTAGGGCCTCGTCCTCAGCATTATAATCTGTGATTTAGTGTGTTATTATAGGGAAGGCTCTCATCCTCAGCATTATAATCTGTGATTTAGTGTGTTATTATAGGGAAGGCTAGGGCCTCGTCCTCAGCATTATAATCTGTGATTTAGTGTATTATTATAGGGTAGGCTAGGGCCTCGTCCTCAACATTATAATCTGTGATTTAGTGTGTTATTATAGGGAAGGCTAGGGCCTCATCCTCAGCATTATAATCTGTGATTTAGTGTGTTATTATAGGGTAGGCTAGGGCCTCGTCCTCAGCATTATAATCTGTGATTTAGTGTGTTATTATAGGGTAGGCTAGGGCCTCATCCTCAGCATTATAATCTGTGATTTAGTGTGTTATTATAGGGTAGGCTAGGGCCTCATCCTCAGCATTATAATCTGTGATTTAGTGTGTTATTATAGGGTAGGCTAGGGCCTCATCCTCAGCATTATAATCTGTGATTTAGTGTGTTATTATAGGGTAGGCTGGGGCCTCGTCCTCAGCATTATAATCTGTGATTTAGTGTGTTATTATAGGGAAGGCTAGGGCCTCATCCTCAGCATTATAATCTGTGATTTAGTGTGTTATTATAGGGTAGGCTAGGGCCTCATCCTCAGCATTATAATCTGTGATTTAGTGTGTTATTATAGGGTAGGCTAGGGCCTCATCCTCAGCATTATAATCTGTGATTTAGTGTGTTATTATAGGGTAGGCTAGGGCCTCATCCTCAGCATTATAATCTGTGATTTAGTGTGTTATTATAGGGAAGGCTAGGGCCTCATCCTCAGCATTATAATCTGTGATTTAGTGTGTTATTATAGGGTAGGCTAGGGCCTCGTCCTCAGCATTATAATCTGTGATTTAGTGTGTTATTATAGGGTAGGCTAGGGCCTCATCCTCAGCATTATAATCTGTGATTTAGTGTGTTATTATAGGGTAGGCTAGGGCCTCATCCTCAGCATTATAATCTGTGATTTTGTGTGTTATTATAGGGAAGGCTAGGGCCTCGTCCTCAGCATTATAATCTGTGATTTAGTGTGTTATTATAGGGTAGGCTAGGGCCTCGTCCTCAGCATTATAATCTGTGATTTAGTGTGTTATTATAGGGTAGGCTCTCATCCTCAGCATTATAATCTGTGATTTAGTGTGTTATTATAGGGAAGGCTGGGGCCTCGTCCTCAGCATTATAATCTGTGATTTAGTGTATTATTATAGGGTAGGCTAGGGCCTCATCCTCAGCATTATAATCTGTGATTTAGTGTGTTATTATAGGGAAGGCTAGGGCCTCATCCTCAGCATTATAATCTGTGATTTAGTGTGTTATTATAGGGAAGGCTAGGGCCTCATCCTCAGCATTATAATCTGTGATTTAGTGTATTATTATAGGGTAGACTAGGGCCTCATCCTCAGCATTATAATCTGTGATTTAGTGTGTTATTATAGGGAAGGCTAGGGCCTCGTCCTCAGCATTATAATCTGTGATTTAGTGTGTTATTATAGGGTAGGCTAGGGCCTCATCCTCAGCATTATAATCTGTGATTTAGTGTATTATTATAGGGTAGGCTAGGGCCTCGTCCTCAGCATTATAATCTGTGATTTAGTGTATTATTATAGGGTAGGCTAGGGCCTCGTCCTCAGCATTATAATCTGTGATTTAGTGTGTTATTATAGGGTAGGCTAGGGCCTCGTCCTCAGCATTATAATCTGTGATTTAGTGTGTTATTATAGGGTAGGCTAGGGCCTCGTCCTCAGCATTATAATCTGTGATTTAGTGTGTTATTATAGGGTAGGCTAGGGCCTCATCCTCAGCATTATAATCTGTGATTTAGTGTGTTATTATAGGGTAGGCTAGGGCCTCGTCCTCAGCATTATAATCTGTGATTTAGTGTGTTATTATAGGGAAGGCTAGGGCCTCATCCTCAGCATTATAATCTGTGATTTAGTGTGTTATTATAGGGTAGGCTAGGGCCTCATCCTCAGCATTATAATCTGTGATTTAGTGTGTTATTATAGGGAAGGCTAGGGCCTCATCCTCAGCATTATAATCTGTGATTTAGTGTGTTATTATAGGGTAGGCTAGGGCCTCGTCCTCAGCATTATAATCTGTGATTTAGTGTGTTATTATAGGGTAGGCTCTCATCCTCAGCATTATAATCTGTGATTTAGTGTGTTATTATAGGGTAGGCTAGGGCCTCGTCCTCAGCATTATAATCTGTGATTTAGTGTGTTATTATAGGGTAGGCTCTCATCCTCAGCATTATAATCTGTGATTTAGTGTGTTATTATAGGGTAGGCTAGGGCCTCGTCCTCAGCATTATAATCTGTGATTTAGTGTGTTATTATAGGGAAGGCTAGGGCCTCATCCTCAGCATTATAATCTGTGATTTAGTGTGTTATTATAGGGAAGGCTAGGGCCTCATCCTCAGCATTATAATCTGTGATTTAGTGTGTTATTATAGGGTAGGCTAGGGCCTCATCCTCAGCATTATAATCTGTGATTTAGTGTATTATTATAGGGTAGGCTAGGGCCTCGTCCTCAGCATTATAATCTGTGATTTAGTGTGTTATTATAGGGTAGGCTAGGGCCTCGTCCTCAGCATTATAATCTGTGATTTAGTGTGTTATTATAGGGTAGGCTCTCATCCTCAGCATTATAATCTGTGATTTAGTGTGTTATTATAGGGTAGGCTAGGGCCTCGTCCTCAGCATTATAATCTGTGATTTAGTGTGTTATTATAGGGTAGGCTCTCATCCTCATCATTATAATCTGTGATTTAGTGTGTTATTATAGGGTAGGCTCTCATCCTCAGCATTATAATCTGTGATTTAGTGTGTTATTATAGGGTAGGCTAGGGCCTCGTCCTCAGCATTATAATCTGTGATTTAGTGTGTTATTATAGGGAAGGCTAGGGCCTCATCCTCAGCATTATAATCTGTGATTTAGTGTGTTATTATAGGGAAGGCTAGGGCCTCATCCTCAGCATTATAATCTGTGATTTAGTGTGTTATTATAGGGTAGGCTAGGGCCTCATCCTCAGCATTATAATCTGTGATTTAGTGTGTTATTATAGGGTAGGCTCTCATCCTCAGCATTATAATCTGTGATTTAGTGTGTTATTATAGGGAAGGCTAGGGCCTCGTCCTCAGCATTATAATCTGTGATTTAGTGTGTTATTATAGGGTAGGCTAGGGCCTCGTCCTCAGCATTATAATCTGCCTCTATATTTGTAGCCATAGCCTGTAAGGGATAATATCTCTCTAGGATCTGATCCGTCATCAGTATTGTGTAATAATTATAAGGTAAGATTTGAATGGAGAAAGCTGATCTGAGAGCAGCGCTGCTTTTTGATCCTATTAGTATCCACACATGCTCCAACGGCGCACTTAGTGAAAGTTCTCCCTATGTAGTGTTTTGGGAAACGCATGTGAGATCTTCGGCCGTTGTAGGAACGATGCATCGTTAATACATTCGTAAACCTAAATTCCATTGCTGTCAGGATACCAGGCCCAGGAAAGACTCCAGGCCCCATGTGAGGCTTGCTCTTGCTTTGAAAATATCTGCTTAACAAGATGTCTTCAGCATCAACTACTGCTCTTCATCACCAGCTACTACTCTTCATCAACAGAACACTACTCTTCATTAACATAACACTACTCTTCATCAACAGAACACTACTCTTCATTAACATAACACTACTCTTCATCAACAGAACACTACTCTTCATCAACAGAACACTACTCTTCATCAACAGAACACTACCCTTCATCAACAGAACACTACTCTTCATCAACAGAACACTACACTTCATCAACAGAACACTACTCTTCATCAACAGAACACTACTCTTCATCAACAGAACACTACTTTTCATCAACAGAACACTACTCTTCGTCAACAGAACACTACTCTTCATCAACAGAACACTACTCTTCATCAACAGAACACTACTCTTCGTCAACAGAACACTACTCTTCATCAACAGAACACTACTCTTCGTCAACAGAACACTACTCTTCATCAACAGAACACTACTTTTCATCAACAGAACACTACTCTTCATTAACAGAACACTACTTTTCATCAACAGAACACTGCTCTTCATCAACAGAACACTACTCTTCATCAACAGAACACTACGCTTCATCAACAGAACATTACTCTTCATCAACAGAACACTACTCTTCATCAACAGAACACTACTTTTCATCAACAGAACACTACTCTTCATCAACAGAACACTACTTTTCATCAACAGAACACTACTCTTCATCAACAGAACACTACTTTTCATCAACAGAACACTACTCTTCATCAACAGAATACTACCCTTCATCAACAGAACACTACTTTTCATCAACAGAACACTACCTTTCATCAACATAACACTACTTTTCATCAGCAGAACACTACTTTTCATTAACATAACACTACACTGCTCTTAAATGGCTCTGAGAACCACACTTCTAACACTAACCTCCTCTAACTGTCTCTGGGTTGAAGTTGCCCTTAGGTACAGATCTGGGAACAGTTTACCCTCCCAAGAGCCTAACCTGAAGCATTAGGCGAAACAATGAAAAACGGCCCTAAGATCAGTGTCTATGGACAACTTCGGGGGAACTACTTTGTTATCCTGATAGTCTTACATCAATCGAATAATAATATATATCTCTCTGTTTCTCTCTGTCGTTCGCTCTCGCTCTTGCTCTCTCTCTCTCGCTCTCTGTCAGGCATGGCTAGTCACCCACCTATCCCCATCTCTGAGCTCGCTGATCATCTAGAACGCCTGAAAGCCAACGACAACCTGAAGTTCTCTCAGGAGTATGAGGTACGGCAGCCGTGTGTGTGTGTGTGTGAGAGAGAGAGAGAGAGAGAGAGAGAGAGAGAGTTTGTTTGAAAGAGACATTTTCACTCCAATTATTCTGTTTTCGTTATGCAATTCAAATGGATTTCCGATGTATTTCGTCACTTGTGCCAATTTGACACTGTAAGCCCTGTGTAGAAACCCTCTAATGAACCAGATACACACAGAGCTGTTGATGTCTTTTCTCTTTTGACAGAGGTATCAGGGTTTAAATGTGAAGAAGAATCTTCCCCCTCTCATGTCTCCTGTTTTATCAGAAGAACATTTCTGTTCAATCAGAGATCTGTCTGTCAGTCTGTCGCAAAGAGATACTGCTTACAGACTGATGGTTATCAATGTTACGCTTCCAGGGAGATAGAGGGAGAGAGAGGGGGGGGGGGGGGGTTGGGGGTGAGGGGGGGGGTGGGGGGGAGGGGTCGGGGGGGGGAGCTTGGGGTTCCTCTCTGGGAGGGGGGGGCTTCCTGGAGGAGAGAGAGAGGAGAGGAGGGGGAGGTAGTATCACGCCTCTCTCTCTCTCTCTCTCCTCCTATGTGAGACGTTAAGTCTTATAAGTCATAGGAGGGGAGGCTCCGACGATCTTGAGCGCTTGAGTATTGCAGAGTCATAATCAGACACACATGCTAGTGAGCAGTGAGTAGACCAAACACACACACGCACACACACACTCTCTCACACACACTCTCACACACACACTCAAACACTCACACACACACACAAACACTCAAACACAAACACACTCACACAAACACAAACACACAGACAACCGCGTCGTACAATATTCAAAATGACTTTCTCTCTTTCTCCATACTTTAATGCACAAATGACATCGTGTGTGTTTGTCCCACAAACAGTTCAGTTTTATACCATTATTCTAGGTTTGAGATTGTTTTGGTGTTGGACTGAGTTTTTCTCTCGCCCCAAAGGAATTCATGGCATTTGATTTTGTGTTCAGTTGGGTAAAAACTTAGCAAAACATTTCATTCCGTTTCAAAATGTTTTGTTACTGTTTCATGCATATACTGTCTTATTTTTGATTCAATTCAACCTTTGACCTGTTGTGTTGTGGTCCATTGACACTTTTTACCAAGTTTTGGAACTGAAATTATTTTCCAACTGTTTCGTTCTGAACAGAACCATTATTTTTTTTTGTTCCGTTCCATCTGTTCCGACCAGCAAAATAAAGTTCTGAACCGGTTCGAACCCCAAAAAAAGTAACAGTTTATATCATTCCTTTCTGTTTCTTTTTCAACCTCTGAAATATACTTTTTTTAAATTACTTCACCAATCAGCGAAGCATTGGGCATCTTGTTATGACATGCATTAGCTGAATTAGGCCCACAGAATTATACCAACGGAGGAGCGGATTATATGGAGGAACTTTGAATGTCTTTCAACCCCCGAGTTGGTATAATGTTGGACCAGAGCAAACATTAGCTAGCTAGCTAACAAGCTTGTGTGTACAGAGCAGCACTAGAATTAAAAACACATCTTACCTTTTAGTAGTCAATTAATCCAATGTGAAAAGTGATAACTATAGTATCCTTAACTAGCATTAAAAAGTCAATCCATTCTTCTCTAATTAAACATCTCTCCCTAATTTCTGAATGGGGGAGGGGCTACAGTAACCTATGCTTCAGAGGGGGAGGGGCTACAGGAACCTATGCTTCAGAGGGGGAGGGGCTACAGGAACCTATGCTTCAGAGGGGGAGGGGCAGGTAGTGTACACACACACCCACTGGCAAAGATGTCCAGCTGGCAGGCAGATCCTGGAATCCGTTTCTGAGTGACAAAATGAGGGCTTTGCATAGGCGCTTTGTTGGTAATGAACGTAAAATAACCGGTTCCCATGCTTTTAAAATAACGGTTCTGTTCCGGAACAGTATAGATCACTTTCGTTTTCGGTTCGGGTTCTATTCCTCAAATAATTTAGTTATTTCCCGGTTTTCAGTTCTGTTCCCTGAACCGGTTCCAACCCTTGCTTATTACCCTTGTTGTAGTCCATTGACCCTGACCAGCAGTTCACCTGGGAGCATTCTAACCCTAACCCTAACCCCTAAACTCTGACCTCTGTGTTGTAGTCCATTGACCCTGACCAGCAGTTCACCTGGGAGCATTCTAACCCTAACCCTAACCCCTAACCTCTGACCTCTGTGTTGTAGTCCATTGACCCTGACCAGCAGTTCACCTGGGAGCATTCTAAACCCTAACCCTAACCCCTAACCTCTGACCTCTGTGTTGTAGTCCATTGACCCTGACCAGCAGTTCACCTGGGAGCATTCTAACCCTAACCCTAACCCCTAACCTCTGACCTCTGTGTTGTAGTCCATTGACCCTGACCAGCAGTTCACCTGGGAGCATTCTAACCCTAACACTAACCCCTAACCTCTGACCTCTGTGTTGTAGTCCATAGACCCCGGCCAGCAGTTCACCTGGGAGCATTCTAACCCTAACCCTAACCCCTAACCTCTGACCTCTGTGTTGTAGTCCATTGACCCCGGCCAGCAGTTCACCTGGGAACAGTCTAACCTGGAGGTCAACAAGCCAAAGAACCGCTATGCCAACGTCATCGCCTACGACCACTCCAGGGTTCTACTGTCCAGTATAGAGGGTAAGTTGGAAGTCATACACATGCTGACACACACACGCACGCACGCACGCACGCACGCACGCACGCACGCACGCACGCACGCACGCACGCACGCACGCACGCACGCACGCACACACACACACACACACACACACACACACACACACACACACACACACAACACACACACAGACACACACACACACACACAGACAGACACACACATGCTGACACACACACACACACACACACACACACACGCTAAGGCTTCACCTACGACCCCTCCAGGGTTCTACTGTCCAGCATCGAGGGAGACACACACTTTTCTTGTTTTATTCTCGGCCAGTCTAAACGTGCCTTCGCTGTCTTAATATAATATTACCACTTAGCAGAAGCATTTATCTAAAGTGACTTACAGTACAGTGACTGTATGCAGTTTTGTTTTTTAAAGCAGAGAGAGACAGAAAGAGAGAGGGAGGGGCCCTGGCAGCTCCATAGAGGAGAGGGGGAAGCTGTGGCTGGCCAAGCCCAGACAAATTACTCTTATCTGGGCAGAGCATGTATGAGAGCAGCCCCTCCACCCCCTCGATCCTGGAGCTCTCTTCTCTGTTTGTCTGTCTGTCAGGCCTGCGAGTCACACACATGAACATACAAGCATACACTCTCCTTCTATCTCTCTCTCTATCTCACACACACACACACACACACACACACACTCATTCTGACTCTCTCACACACACACAGACTCTGCCAAGCCTGCAGAGCCAGAGAGAGATGGGAACTCGTCTGAGCTCTGTTTTTATCTCCAAGCTCCACAGCAGCCTTCCTTCTGTTACTCCTAACCAGTGAAGTTATACACACACACACACACACATCAAAGCCTATAAGCAGGCTGCTGGTTAGAGAGACTGACTGTGGATGAACATATACTGCTACTACCATTACCTTATGTTCATGTTACTTGACATTTTCAACTAGCATACAGAGAGAGAGAGAGGAGAAGAGAGACTGGGGGGGGAGAGAGGAGGTAGGGAGGGAGAGAAGAGAGAAGGAGAGAGAGATGGGACGAGAGAGAGAGAGAGAAGAGAGAGAGAGAGAGGAGAGAGAGAGGAGAGAGAGAGAGAGAGGAGAGAGAGGAGAGGGAGAGGGAGAGAGAGGGAGAGGGAGGAGGGAGGGGAGGGAGGGAGGGGGAGGGAGGAGGGAGGGAGGGAGGGAGGGAGAGAGAGATTACAGTAGGTTTAAATGAGGGCGAGTTGCTGCTGCAGCAGTAATATTAGCTAACTATGAGTCCATCCCAAATGTCACCCTATTCCCTATGATCCCTGGTCTAAAGTAGTGCACTATATAGGGAATAGGGTGCCATTTGAGATGTAGTCATGTCTTTGAAAGTGTTGGTACCAGCGAGGGCTGTTTGTTCGTTTTATATAAACTGACCTCAAAAGATACACCAAGAGCTTTGTGACCTGCTTTCTGACTCACTAGAATCAGTCCAGGGGTGTGCGTGCGGGCGGTGACACAGTGATTTGGGGGATTATGGCATCAGGCCCAGATGAACAGGACTGATCCTGAATGAAACAGACACAATCCCCTCCCATACAAGCTGGGTATCAGCTGAGAGAATTGACACAATCTCCTGCCATACAAGCTGGGTATCAGCTGAGAGAATTGACACAATCTCCTGCCATACAAGCTGGGTATCAGCTGAGAGAGTTGAGTCGTCCATTTTCTCACGTTGACATTTTTAACCAACACATACACTGTACATGCAGATCGATTGATTGATTGACACTTTGATAATCCCCAAGGAGCATCTGATCTGATCATCTCTCTCTCCCTTTCTCTCCCTCTTTCTCTCTCTCTCTCTGTCTCCCCCCGATCTCTCACCCTCCCCTTATCTCTCTTCCCCCCCCCCCCCCCAGGTATCCCAGGCAGTGACTACATCAATGCTAACTACATTGATGGCTACCGTCGTCAGAACGCCTACATCGCGACGCAGGGCTCTCTCCCCGAGACCTTCTGTGACTTCTGGAGACTGGTGTGGGAACAGCACACGGCCAACATCATCATGATGACCAAGCTAGAGGAGAAGTCACGGGTAAGGACTGATATCAATTATTCATACAGTCAAAGGACAGTTATAAATCAATAGACTGTTATAAATTATGTTTTTTTGTCATTTAGCAGACTCTCTTATCCAGAGCGACTTACAGGAGCAATTAGGGTTAGATCATTGTAATCAATGGGGAAGGAGGACGGATCAGTTGATAATCAATGGGGGAGGAGGACGGATCAGTTGATAATCAATGGGGGAGGAGGACGGATCAGTTGATAATCAATGGGGAAGGAGGACGGATCAGTTGATAATCAATGGGGAAGGAGGAAGGATCAGTTGATAATCAATGGGGGAGGAGGACGGATCAGTTGATAATCAATGGGGAAGGAGGACGGATCAGTTGATAATCAATGGGGAAGGAGGACGGATCAGTTGATAATCAATGGGGAAGGAGGACGGATCAGTTGATAATCAATGGGGAAGGAGGACGGATCAGTTGATAATCAATGGGGAAGGAGACAGAAATATACTATGTCCTGTACAGTGTTGTAACCCCTAATGTCAACGTACAGTGGTGGATATGATTTCTTCTGGAGCGGATGGTCTGGGGGCCAGAACATAATTACTATATAATTTGTAGACTGCAAATTGACCACAACAAGCCCAAACAGATACAGGATAATAGCTGACTAAAACAGAATCATTTCAAACCTTTATTACATTTGTAAACCTATATGATCACATAATGTATATCGCTCTATTATGCGTAGGAAGATTTTGGAACTGATTTAAAAATAAAAATAAATCAGTTAGAGCTAATTTGGTGGTGTTTTTACAGTCTTTTATATATATATATATATATATATATATTGGGTTTAGAAAACTTGGGGGGCCAAATAAAATGCGGGGGCCAGTTGGGCAACCCTGCTGAATAGTGTGTGTGTATATACAGCAGTATGACTCTCCTATATACAGCAGTATGACTCTCCTATATGACTTTAAATAATCATGTATTTCATTTTCTCCCTTTAATACGTTTCTAACATGATGTTGTCAACTTTAGTCTTTAGTTTCTCTTCTTAGCCCATGTAGAAACTAGGTACAACTTCCTCTTTCCACCATGCTTCTACTAATACTATGCTTATACTGTCGTGCTACTTGACATTTTCAACTAGCATACAGGTCCTCTGTAGCTCAGCTGGTAGAGCACGGCGCTTGTAACGCCAGGGTAGTGGGTTCGATCCCCGGGACCACCCATACACAAAAAAATGTATGCACGCATGACTGTAAGTCGCTTTGGATAAAAGCGTCTGCTAAATGGCATATTATATTATTATTATGTACGATGTAGTACTATAACTAGTAGTACTAAATGTACTATGTAATGCCATAATTAGTAGTACTACATGTATTATGTAATGCCATAACTAGTAGTACTACATGTACTATGTAATACCATAACTAGTAGTACTACATGTACTATGTAGTACCATAACTAGTAGTACTACATGTACTATGTAGTACCATAACTAGTAGTACTGCCATGTACTATGTAGTACCATAACTAGTAGTACTACATGTACTATGTAGTACCATGACTAGTAGAATTACCATGTACTATGTAGTACCATAACTAGTAGTACTACATGTACTATGTAGTACCATAACTAGTAGTACTACATGTACTATGTAGGACCATGACTAGTAGAATTACCATGTACTATGTAGTACCATAACTAGTAGTACTACATGTACTATGTAGTACCATAACTAGTAGTACTATATGTACTATGTAGGACCATGACTTGTAGAATTACCATGTACTATGTAGTACCATGACTAGTAGTACTACATGTACTATGTAGTACCATGACTAGTAGAATTACCATGTACTATGTAGTACCATGACTAGTAGAATTACCATGTACTATGTAGTACCATGTTAATAGCATTACTAATACTGTAGTAGTAATGTACTGTAGTGTTGTGTGGTAGTTCCTGTCATGTCTCTTTTCCAACTCTCTCTCTCTCTCTGTCTGTTTCACCCTGTCTGTTTCAGATGCCCTCTTATTTCTTCTCCAAGGCAAGACATCCCTCTCCCTCCCTCCCTCCCCTCCCTCCCTCCCTCCCTCCCTCCCTCCGCTTCCCTCTCCTTACTTCATTTCTGCAACCTCTAATCACATGGTTTTCTGATCACTCAATGTGTTCACTGCCTTTCTGTCTGGTTTTAAAACACACTGAGAATGACTGAAATGCTCCTCTGACCACTTTTGGAGACTCAACAAAATGCACGTTGTTCACCAGTGTCACGTTGTGTGTGTTCTTTGGATCTCGGGTCGAGGTTGGGTCTACTTCCATTTCAGTTCAGTCCGTTCCTCTTCAAGAAGAAGTTAAAAGTACCATTTATTATCAATTAGATTTTTTTTTTTCTCAAGTCTCCGATTGGGATTTCAGTTCCTGTCCTGAATTGGCTGAATAGAAATGGAACTGACCCAAAGCTCTGTCTGTTTTCTCTGGACTGTAGCCACTAGCCATCCATGTTATGTTAGGTAGCTACTGGATATTACGTAGCTAATAGTACATTAGGTAGCTACTGTATATAATCCGTAGCTAATAGTACATTAGGTAGCTACTGTATATTACGTAGCTAATAGTACATTAGGTAGCTACTGGATATTACGTAGCTAATAGTAACATAGGTAGCTATGGATATAACCTAGCTAATAGTACATTAGGTAGCCTACTGGATATTACGTAGCTAATAGTACATTAGGTAGCTACTGTATATAATACGTAGCTAATAGTACATTAGGTAGCTACTGGATATTACGTAGCTAATAGTACATTAGGTAGCTACTGGATATAATCCGTAGCTAATAGTACATTAGGTAGCTACTGTATATTACGTAGCTAATAGTACATTAGGTAGCTACTGTATATTACGTAGCTAATAGTACATTAGGTAGCTACTGTATATAATCCGTAGCTAATAGTACATTAGGTAGCTACTGGATATTACGTAGCTAATAGTACATTAGGTAGCTACTGTATATTACGTAGCTAATAGTACATTAGGTAGCTACTGTATATAATCTGTAGCTAATAGTACATTAGGTAGCTACTGTATATAATCCGTAGCTAATAGTACATTAGGTAACTACTGTATATTACGTAGCTAATAGTACATTAGGTAGCTACTGTATATTACGTAGCTAATAGTACATTAGGTAGCTACTGTATATTACGTAGCTAATAGTACATTAGGTAGCTACTGTATATTACGTAGCTAATAGTACATTAGGTAGCTACTGTATATTACGTAGCTAATAGTACATTAGGTAACTACTGTATATTACGTAGCTAATAGTACATTAGGTAGCTACTGTATATTACGTAGCTAATAGTACATTAGGTAGCTACTGTATATTACGTAGCTAATAGTACATTAGGTAGCTACTGTATATTACGTAGCTAATAGTACATTAGGTAGCTACTGTATATAATCCGTAGCTAATAGTACATTAGGTAGCTACTGGATTTTACGTAGCTAATAGTACATTAGGTAGCTACTGGATATTACGTAGCTAATAGTACATTAGGTAGCTACTGTATTTTACGTAGCTAATAGTACATTAGGTAGCTACTGGATTTTACGTAGCTAATAGTACATTAGGTAGCTACTGGATATTACGTAGCTAATAGTACATTTATGGTAGCTTACTGGGATTTTACGTAGCTAATAGTACATTAGGTAAGCTACTGGGATATACGTAGCTAATAGGTACATTAGGTAGCCTACTGTATATACGTAGCTAATAGTAACATTAGGTAGCTACTAGGAGTTTTAACGTAGCTAATAGTACATTATTAGCTACTGGAATTTACGTAGGCTTATAGTACATAGGTAGCTACTGGATATTACGTAGCTAATAGGACATTATGGGTAGCTATGGTATATACGTAGCTAATAGTACATTAGGTAGCTACCTGTTATATTACGTAGCTATCTAGTAACTTAGGTAGCTACTGGTATATTACGGTAGCTACTAGGGTTACATTATGGTAGCCTACTGTATATTCGTAGCTATAGTCACATTAGGTAACTACTGTCATATTATCTGTAGGCTAATAGTTACATTTAGGTAGCTACTGTAAATATATCCGTAGCTATAGTACATTCGGTAACTACTGTATATTACGGTAGCTTATTACATTAGGTAGCTAACTTTATATTCCGTAGCTAATAGTACATTAGGTAACTACTGTATATTACGTAGCTAATAGTACATTAGGTAGCTACTGATATTACGTAGCTAATAGTACATTAGGTTAGCTACTGTATATTACGTAGCTAATAGTACATTAGGTAGCCTACTGTATATTACGTAGCTAATAGTACATTAGGTAGCTACTGTATATTACGTAGCTAATAGTACATTAGGTAACTACTGTATATTACGTAGCTAATAGTACATTAGGTAGCTACTGTATATTACGTAGCTAATAGTTACATTAGGTAGCTACTGTATTACGTTAGCTAATAGTACATTAGGTAGCTACTGTATATTACGTAGCTAATAGTACATTAGGTAGCTACTGTATATAATCCGTAGCTAATAGTACATTAGGTAGCTACTGGATTTTACGTAGCTAATAGTACATTAGGTAGCTACTGGATATTACGTAGCTAATAGTACATTAGGTAGCTACTGTATTTACAGTAGCTAATAGTACATTAGGTAGCTACTGGATTTTACGTAGCTAATAGTACATTAGGTAGCTACTGGATATTACGTAGCTAATAGTACATTAGGTAGCTACTGGATTTTACGTAGCTAATAGTACATTAGGTAGCTACTGGATATTACGTAGCTAATAGTACATTAGGTAGCTACTGTATATTACGTAGCTAATAGTACATTAGGTAGCTACTGGATTTTACGTAGCTAATAGTACATTAGGTAGCTACTGGATATTACGTAGCTAATAGTACATTAGGTAGCTACTGGATATTACGTAGCTAATAGTACATTAGGTAGCTACTGTATATTACGTAGCTAATAGTACATTAGGTAGCTACTGTATATTACGTAGCTAATAGTACATTAGGTAACTACTGTATATTACGTAGCTAATAGTACATTAGCTTGGACAAGGCTACTTATGTAGGGAATAGGGTGCCATTTGAGACTATCAGTACTATATACTGTAATAATCAGTATAAACCAGCATCTCAGCCCTGTGGAAAGCAGTAGAGTATAAAGCTATATTATAATCCCAGGTTCTCAGCCCTGTGGAAAGCAGTACAGTATAAAGCTGTATTATAATCCCAGCGTCTCGCACCGTGGAAAGCAGTACAGGTATAAAGCTGTATTATAACCCAGCGTCTCAGCCTGTGGAAAGCAGTACAGTATACAGCTGTATTATAATCCCAGCGTCTCAGCTCTGTGGAAAAGCAGTACAGTATAAAGCCTATAATTATATAATCCAAGCGTCTCAGCCCTGTGGAAAGCAGTACAGAATTAAAAGCTGTATTATAACCCAGCGTCTCAGCCCTGTGGAAAGCAGTACAGTATAAAGCTGTATTATAATCCAGCGTCTCAGCCCTGTGGAAAGCAAGACAGTATAAAGCTGTATTATAATCCCAGCGTCTCAGCTCTGGAAAGCAGTACAGTATAAAGCTATATTATAATCCCAGCGTCTCAGCCCTGTGGAAAGCAGTACAGTATAAAGCTGTATTATAATCCCAGCGTCTCAGCCCTGTGGAAAGCAGTACAGTATAAAGCTGTATTATAATCCCAGCGTCTCAGCCCTGTGGAAAGCAGTACAGTATAAAGCTATATTATAATCCCAGCGTCTCAGCTCTGTGGAAAGCAGTACAGTATAAAGCTGTATTATAATCCCAGCGTCTCAGCTCTGTGGAAAGCAGTACAGTATAAAGCTATATTATAATCCCAGCGTCTCAGCCCTGTGGAAAGCGAGTACAGTATAAAGCATGTATTATAATCCCAGCGTCTCATGCCCTGTGGAAAGCAGTACAGTATAAAGCTGTATTATAATCCCAGCGTTCAGCCCTGTGAAAGCAGTACGTATAAAGCTCTATTATAATCCCAGCGTCTCAGCCCTGTGGAAAGCATACAGTATAAAGCTGTATTATAATCCCAGCGTCTCAGCCCTGTGGAAATCATACAGTATAAAGCTGTATATATAATCCCAGCGTCTCAGCCCTGTGGGAAAGCAGTACAGTATAAAGCTGGATTATAATCCCTGTGGAAAGCAGTACAGTATAAAGCTATATTATAATCCCAGCGTCTCAGCCCTGTGGAAAGCAGTACAGTATAAAGCTGTATTATAATCCCAGCGTCTCAGCCCTGTGGAAAGCAGTACAGTATAAAGCTGTATTATAATCCCAGCGTCTCAGCTCTGTGGAAAGCAGTACAGTATAAAGCTATATTATAATCCCAGCGTCTCAGCTCTGTGGAAAGCAGTACAGTATAAAGCTATATTATAATCCCAGCGTCTCAGCCCTGTGGAAAGCAGTACAGTATAAAGCTATATTATAATCCCAGCGTCTCAGCCCTGTGGAAAGCAGTACTGTAAAAATATGTATTATAATCCCAGCGTCTCAGCCCTGTGGAAAGCAGTACTGTAAAAATATGTATTATAATCCCAGCGTCTCAGCCTGTGGAAAGCAGTACTGTAAAAAGATGTATTATAATCCAGCGTCTCAGCCCCTGTGGAAAGCAGTACAGTATAAAGCTGATATAATCCACGTCCAGCCGTGGAAGGAGTACAGTATAAAGCTGTTTATAATCCCAGGTCTGCCCTGGGAAGCAGTACTGTAAAAATGTTATAACCAGGTCTCAGCCTGGAAAGAGTACTGAAAAAATTGTTTTAACCAGCGTCTCAGCCCTGTGGAAAGAGGATGTAAAAATGTATAAATCCCAGCGTCTCAGCCCTGTGAAAGCAGTATGTAAAAAAGATTATAATCCAGCGCTCGCCCTGTGGAAAGCAGTACTGTAAAAATATGTATTATAATCCCAGCGTCTCAGCCCTGTGGAAAGCAGTACTGTAAAAATATGTATTATAATCCCAGCGTCTCAGCTCTCTGACAGGAAAGCGAACAGTTAATTACAGAGTAGCCATGGCCAGAAACACCAGAATCCAGTCTGGACGAGTGGAATGCAGAGCAGGCCTCCCCACTGGCTTTGATGTGAAACTGGATGGATCAGCTCATCCACATCGTTTGGTTTGGCTTGATTCTGCCATGGGCTCTCCAGGGGATTTCTGTGATTTTGTTCCCTTAGCTCCCTGTGGTTTCTGAGGCTGGAAAATAACTACAAATATGTCTGCTTGTTATGTGGAATTTGATGTGTTGTGGTGCTAAAGCATGTTGGGGTTTGGTGTTTGCATATTTGCAGAGGTTAGCGCAACACCCTGTGACCACTTATAGCTAGTTCAGTATCTGATAGATAACTCTCTCTCTGTCTTTCTCTCACACACTGTACATGCACACCATACATCACCCTCTCCTCTCTCTCTTCTCTCTCTCCTCGTCTCTCTCCTCGCTCTCACCCTCTCCTCTTCTCTCGCTCGCGCTCTCGCTCTCTCTCCTCCCTCCCTCGCCCTCGTCTCTCTCTGTCCTCTGCTATAAAAAAACAACACATTATCTCTCGCATCTCTCTCTCTCTCTCATTCTCTGTAAAAAAAAAACACACACATCTCATTCTCTTTTCTCATTCTCTCTCTCTCTCTCCTTCTCTCTCTCTCTCTCTCTCCCCTCTCTTCTCTCTCTCTCTCTCTCGCTCTCTCTCTCTAAAAACATCACCATTATCTCTATCTATCTTTCATCCTCTCCCCGCTCCCCTCTCTCTGACGTCCTCTCTCAAGCACCCTCCTAATCTCTCTCTCTCTTCAGGTCAAATTGATCACGTACGGCCCCCCCCAGGAACGAGACTCTTCTGATCATCTTAATCTCTCTCTCTCTGGGAGGTAAACTGTGATCAGGACTTCGCCTCCAGGAAAGAGAAAGTCTGATAGGTTACTCTGGGACATGAGAGCTGGTAATTTTCAGGAGCAGAGGTGAGGAGAGAGAGAGAGAGAGGAGTTGATGAGAGAGAGGGTGTGTTTTATTGTGTGTACTTTTCGTGTAACCTCCTCTCCTCTCCTCTCCTCCTCCTCTCCTCTCCTCTCCTCTCCTCTCCTCCCTCTCATCTCCTCTCCTCTCCTCTCTCTCTCCCTCTCTCCCTCTCCTCTCCTCTCCTCTCCTCTCCTCCACTCCTCCCTCTCCTCTCCTCCAGAGTGGCTCCAGTGAGAAGCGTGAGATTCGTCAGTTCCAGTTTACAGCCTGGCCGGACCACGGGGTCCCAGAACACCCCACCCCCTTCCTGGCCTTCCTACGACGGGTCAAGGCCTGCAACCCGCCAGACGCAGGACCCATGGTCGTACACTGCAGGTACCATCTCTATTGCTGCGCCACTCGGGTGCCTTAGGCCACCTGAGTGGCGCAGTGGTCTAAGGCACTGCATCGCAGTGCTAGCTGTGCCACTAGAGATCCAGGCTCTGTCGTAGCCGGCCGTGACCGGGAGACCCATGGGGCGGCGCACAATTGGCCCAGCGTCGTCCAGGGTAGGGGAGGGAATGGCCGGCAGGGGATGTAGCTCAGTTCGTAGAGCATGGCGTTTGCAACACCAGGGTTGTGGGTTCGATTCCCACGGGGGGTATAAAAAATAATGTATACACTAACTGTAAGTCGCTCTGGATAAGAGCGTCTGCTAAATGACTAAAATGTAATGTAAATGTACTTGAAGTTTCCTGGGGTAAGGAATGTTTTGGGGGTTTTCAAGTCCCTCAGTCGATTCTCCTTTTTTTTGTTCAAGCTGGGCTGAACCACGTCTGGGTACGCTTTTTTTTCCATTGATCTGTTACTATCTGTTACCTGGGTGGCTCTTAGGTACCGGAACGCATCCAAAATAAATCACCTTTATAATAAAGCATTGAATGCATATCACGGCTTTTGTGTACTGGCATAGAGCAGTAGAGTAGAGGCATGAGGAAACAAATGAAGCCCAGGGTCTGGGAAAAATGTGGCCTTTTAGAAATGCATTTCATGCAATTCTACATCATTTTAGATGCCTGGAGAATTTAGCAGAATATTTTTTAATACCACATAAACGCTGGAAATGACAGGCTACTTTGACCCTGATAAACGGAGAATGTGAGATCATTAAAAACGACCTGGTCTTGAATCCATCAGTAGCCTAGGCCTAAGGGTGTGGAGACACACATATGGTACGATATGAGGAGGGAATTATAGTCCTAAAAACTCTTTCCAGGTTCAGTGACTCCACCCAATGATGCGCAGCTCATTCACCAGCGATGGCTGATGCCCTTGTGTCAAAAGCCTGTCTCACTGTTGTTTTACTTTGTAAAACAATGCTGTTCGTTCAATAGGCCTATTTGGAAGTTGATAACATATTCGGTGGCCTAGAGCAGACAGATTAGTCTTGTCTTTTCAGCAGGAGCCATTTGCTTTCCATCCTGTTGTTTTCTGCGATTGTATTTGAAATATTGCGAAAGGCTTGTTTGGGCTGCATGCTGTTCACTGACAGATTTGCAGCGTGTTCCCGACTGTAGGCTATGCCTTGTGATTGGGCTACACACAATCCACAGCTAGGCTATAAAAAATAAAAATAAAAGATTCATCCTCTGTGTCTAAATTCTAGGCCCTCCTGGTGTAGTATTCAGAATGACTTAATTTATTTCTGAACAGACAGCAGTAATGATAGAACAGCAGTAGTAAATTATAGAACAGCAGTAATTCTAGAACAGCAGTAATTCTAGAACAGCAGTAATGATAGAACAGCAGTAATTCTAGAACAGCAGTAATTCTAGAACAGCAGTAATTCTAGAACAGCAGTAATGATAGAACAGCAGTAATTCTAGAACAGCAGTAATTCTAGAACAGCAGTAATTCTAGAACAGCAGTAATGATAGAACAGCAGTAATTCTAGAACAGCAGTAATGATAGAACAGCAGTAATTCTAGAACAGCAGTAATTCTATAACTTTGGCAAATGTAGTTGAATGCTGGAGAGATGCTAGTTGCAGACTCATGTCTATTAGAGCAGAGAGAGGGAGAGAGATCATAGCAACTGAATGCCATTCTAATTCTGCTTCACTCTCTCACCACGGCAACGGCCACGCGTTGGTCTATGTAGGCTACAATGTTGCACAAACCATAAACCCGAGCCGGCCCTAAACAAATCAATTCTTAGACTATCAGGCACGTTTTCACATGACGTTTTTTAGGGGGCAGGAGAATTACATACGAGGGTTCTTGAATTAGCTGTGATTGATTTTATTAGTATTTTACATTGCAAACAGTGAAAATTATTTTTCATGCCATGAGAGGTACCGGATCCTGGTAAATGTGTTCTGGAACGAAACAGTCCAAAATTGAGAGGTGCCAGATCCTGTTCCGGCAGGATCCGGCTCAAATTAAGCACTCGTTTTGTAGAACACTGTCTCTCCACACGTCAATGCAAGTTTCAGTGATTTAATTTGCCAAAGACCCTACCAAATATCTTGACTTTGTCCATCACTGGCCAAATTCATCACAGCAGTGTAACAACAAGCATGCATGAAACCCAGAAAAGAACTGACTTATGGAAAAACATTTGAAAACATATACTGTATATATATTCATCTCCTGAGCTTAAATGACATTGACCTTTTACCCAGACAGAAACCCCAAACACTTCTCATTGGCTAAACAAGCTAACCCTAACCCGCTGTGGAATGGAACTGACATGGAGAATACTTATCTTCCTCTTACTCAGCAAGTTACAGAGAGAGGGGGGGAGGGAGGGAGGAGTGGGGGGAAAGAGGGAGGGTGAGAGAGAGGGAGGGAAAGGTAGGGAGAAAGAGGAGGTGAGAGAGAGAGAGTGTGTCTGTGTGTGTGTGTGTCTAACAAGGAAGCTGCCAGTGAAATGGAGTGTGTAACAGGATTATAGGTGAATTAAATTAGCTTCTTTACAGTAACAATAGTCAGTCTCTCTCTCTCTCTCGCTCTGTCTCTCTCTCTCTCTCTCTCTCTCTCTCTGTATCTCTCTGTCTCTCTCTCTCTCTCTGTCTCTCTCTCTGTCTCTCTCTCTCTCACCCGCCCCCTCACTCTCTCTCTCTCTCTCTCTCTCTCTCTCTCACTCTCTGTATCTCTCGCTCTCGCCCCCCCCCTTCACCCCCTCTCTCTCTCACTCTCTGTCTCTCTCTGTCTCCCTCTCCCGAGAGCTGGGTTTATGATGGAGAAGGGAAAGTGCGTGCAGGTGCGCGCATGTGTGTGTGTGTGTGTGTGTGTGTGTGTGTGTGTTGGACCTGCCTGGAGTGTCCGTCTGTAGCCAGTCAACACAGCGTAACAGTAATGAGTACGTTTACATGCACACCAATAATTAGATATTAAGCTGATTATGGCAGTAGGCCGATTATGCAATAGTCATGTAAACACCTTACTCAGCGTAAAAAAGGTCAGAATCGAAGTAAGCACACGCCTGCTTTTCTGAGCAGTCTTTAAAATGATTAGGACGTTTAAACAGCCTAAACCGGCGTTCCAGCGGTGTATTTGATCTGCGCATGTGGCAGCACCAGCCGAGAGCCTCCCTGGTATGTGCGTGTGTAATGAATACTCAGGGAGAAAAAGGTGTAGATTCACGCGCAGTTAGCGCGGCACGTGTTTATTTCACCTTCACAGAAGGCAGGAATCGTAGTCACAGGCAGGCAATGGTCATACACAGGTAGGCAAACAGGCAGGTGAATCAAAAAACTAGGACTGAAGGCTATAACTGGTTCTCACAAACGAGCTAGGAAAAAGCTTAGTAGAGTCAAAACGAACAATACCTCACAAGGCACAAACAGAATGAACTGAACTAAATAAGGAGCTGATGAGACCAGGTGAGTAACTAACACAGGTGAAATCAATGAACAAAAATTAAAAACAGGGCTACGTTCAAGAACACAAAGAAACAGGGCTACGTTCAAGAACACAAAGAAACAGGGCTACGTTCAAGAACACAAAGAAACAGGGCCACGTTCAAGAACACAAAGAAACAGGGCTACGTTCAAGAACACAAAGAAACAGGGCTACGTTCAAGAACACAAAGAAACAGGGCTACGTTCAAGAACACAAGGTGAACTAAGAAAATAAATACAGAACCTTACAGCGCGAGTGAAGTGAGTTCGGAAAAACTTTAAATATGCATCTTAGAAATAGTTTTCACATCCAAACTCAGAATCAAATAGGCTTCCCAAAAATATCACTGTGGTTGAATGTTTAGTTTTATTGGTGTTTTTCTCCATATATCAATGTCCCATCAGGTATCCTGATTTCAGATGAGTCCGTGTAAACAAGATTATTAGCTAAATCATTCTTAATGCAAAGCATGTAAACGTTTAAATCAAACTATTATATGAATCTATTGTGTGTATGTAACTGTACTCAGTAATGTGTTTGGTCCAGTGGCTGACTGTCTGAGTTGGAGGATAGGATAGTGTGTGTGTGTGTGTGTGTGTGTGTGTGTGTGTGTGTGGTGTGTGTGTGTGTGTGTGTGTGTGTGTGTGAGTGTGAGTGTGAGTGTGAGTGTGAGTGTGAGTGTGAGTGTGTGTGTGTGTGTGTGTGTGTGTGTGTGGTGTGAGTGTGAGTGTGAGTGTGAGTGTGAGTGTGTGTGTGTGTGTGTGTGTGTGTGTGTGTGTGTGCGTTTTACTATAGTTGTGAGTATTTCTTCACAAAAATAGTAAATCAACTAAAATTCAGAGAAGTGAGGACCGGTCCTCACTTGTAAAATGGCTATTTTAGGCTTAGGGGTTAGGTTTAGAATTAGGGTTAGGGTTAAGATTAGGGATTAGTGGTTAGGGTTAGGAAAGGGGACTGTGGGGACAGGGTGAACAGGGTGAACAGGGTGGACAGGGTGGACAGGGGTGGCAGGTTGCAGGTGGAGGGTTGGCAGGGTGGCCAGGGTGGACAGGGTGGCAGGTGGCAAGGGTGGAGTGGCAAGGGGTGGACAGGGTGGCCAGGGTGGCAGGGTGGACCAGGGGTGGCAGGGTGGACAGGGTGGCATGGTGGCAGGGTGGTGGGAGGGGGGCGGGGGACAGGGTGGGGACAGGGGGGGGGGGGGTGGGGGGGGGGTGGGGGGGGGGGCAGGGTGGTCAGGTGGACAGGGTGGCAGGGTGGACAGGGTGGCAGGGTGGACAGGGTGGACAGGGTGGACAGGGTGGCAGGGTGGACAGGGTGGACAGGGTGGACAGGGTGGCAGGGTGGACAGGGTGGACAGGGTGGGCAGGGTGGACAGGGTGGCAGGGTGGACAGGGTGGACATGGTGGCATGGTTGGGCAGGTGGGACCATGGTTGGCAGGGGTGGACAGGGTGGCAGGGTGGCAGGGTGGACAGGGGGACAGGGGGACAGGGTGGACATAGAGACTTGACCAACTCATTTTATTAACCTCTAGTTTAAAGAGAACACTTCTAAAGCTGTTAAGAGTGTATGGGCAGGGGGTCCCACAGGTTTAGGGTTAGGGGTTAGGGGTTAGGGGTTAGGGAAAATAGGATTTTGAATGGGAATCAATTGTTTGTCCCCAAAAGTGTGTCTGTGTGTCTGTGTGTCTGTGTGTCAAGTTTAAAGTTTAAAGTTTTCACTTGCACAAATAAAGTAAAATACTCTAAACCCAACAATGCAGTAATCAATAAGAATGTATTACTACAAATAACACAAGGTAGAACAAAAACACATCAGATATAAAAATAAGAAATAAGAAGAACAGGAGAAAGTAAGAAGCTAAATACAGGGTCAGTTCCAGGACCATATTAACAATGTGCAGGGATACTGGAGTGATGGAGGTAGATATGTATAGGGGTAAGGTGATTATATACAGGGTCAGTTCCAGGACCATATTTACAATGTGCAGGGATACTAGAGTGATGGAGGTAGATATGTATAGGGGTAAGGTGACTAGGCATCAGGATCTATGATAAACAGAGTAGCAGCAGCGTAAACGATGATTGTATTTGAGTGGGTGTGTGTAGACCCAGTATAAATGTGTGTGCATGTTATGTGTGTGTTGGAGTGTCAGTGGTCGTGAGTGTGCACAAATAAATACAGGTGGCAACTCAGATAGTCTGTTAGCTATTTAGTTAGCCATTCTGTTAGCTATTTAGTTAGCCAGTCTGTTAGCTATTTAGTTAGCCAGTCTGTTAGCTATTTAGTTAGCCAGTCTGTTAGCTATTTAGTTAGCCATTCTGTTAGCTATTTAGTTGGCCATTCTGTTAGCTATTTAGTTAGCCATTCTGTTAGCTATTTAGTTAGCCATTCTGTTAGCTATTTAGTTGGACATTCTGTTAGCTATTTAGTTAGCCATTATGTTAGCTATTTAGTTAGCCATTCTGTTAGCTATTTAGTTAGCCATTCTGTTAGCTGTTTAGTTAGCCAGTCTGTTAGCTATTTAGTTAGCCATTCTGTTAGCTGTTTAGTTAGCCATTATATTAGCTGTTTAGTTAGCCATTATGTTAGCTGTTTAGTTAGCCATTCTGTTAGCTGTTTAGTTGGCCATTCTGTTAGCTGTTTAGTTGGCCATTCTGTTAGCTGTTTAGTTAGCCATTCTGTTAGCTGTTTAGTTAGCCATTCTGTTAGCTGTTTAGCAGTCTTATGGCTTGGGGATAGAAGCTGTTCAGGAGCCTGTTGACGTCAGACTTGATGCACCAGTACCTCTTGCCATGTGGAAGCAGAGAGAACAGTCTTTGGCTTGGGATAGGACTCAACACGGGGACTCCAGCTGGAGTCTTTAACGATTTTCCGGGCCTTCCTTTGTTAAACACTCCAGCTGATATAGGCCCCAGTGACTGCTGTCCCCATCACCCTCTGTAGGCTGTCTCATCGTCGCCGGTCGTGTCGTCAGCAAACTTGATGATGGTGTTGGAGTCGTGCGTGGCCACGCAGTCGTGGGTGAACAGGGAATACAGGAGGGGACTAAGCACACACCCCTGAGGGGCCCCCCCGTGCTGAGGGTCAGTGTGGCGGAGGTGATGTTGTCTACCCTCACTACCTGGGGTCGGCCCGTCAGGAAGTCTAGGATCCAGTTGGAGAGGGAGGTGTTCAGTCCCAGGGTCCTAAGCTTGGAGGGGACAATGGTGTAGAACACTCAGCTGTAGAATAGCATTCTCACATAGGTATTCCTCTTATCTAGGTGGGCGAGAGCGATGTGGAGTGCAATTGAGATTGCGTCATCTATGGATCTGTTGGGGCCGGTATGCAAATTGGAGTGGGTATAGAGGGTGTCTGGGTTGATGGAGAGGGTGTGCCCCATATCCAGCCTCAAAGCACTTCATGATTAAAGATGTAAGTGCTACCAGACGTTAGTCATTGGGGGCATGAATCCCTTAGAGTTCTTAGGGAACAGGAATGATGGTGGTCATCTTAAAACATGTTGGGGGTTACAGACTGGGACAAGGAGAGGTTGGACATATGCCTGCCAGCTGATCTGCACACGCTCTGAGAACGCGCCCTGGAACACCGTCAGTGTTGAGCTGATTAAAGACCTTACTCACGTCGGCCTCAGAGAGTGAGATCACCCAGTCCTCCGGTTCTCACGCACAGTATGGTGTTGTTATTGTTGAATACGTGCATAAAATGAGTTGAGTTGATCTGGAAGAGAGGCATCGTTGGACAGATCACTGTTGGGTCTTCCTTTGTACCCCATAATGGACTGTAGCCCCTGCCAGATGTGGTGGCTCTCAGAGCCTGTGGAATAGGATTCCACCTTATCCCTATATTGTCCTCTGCAGAGGTCGTAGAGGGACTTCCTGTGTGTGTGTGTGTGTGTGTGTGTGTGTGTGTGTGTGTGTGTGTGTGTGTGTGTGTGTGTGTGTGTGTGTGTGTGTGTGTGTGTGTGTGTGTGTGTGTGTGTGTGTGTGTGTGTGTGTGTGTGTGTGTGTGTGTGACTGTGTGAGAGTGTGTGTGTGAATGTGTGTGACTGTGTGAGAGTGTGTGTGTGTGTGTTGGGGTGTTTCGGTTTGGGAACAGGATAGTGCTGTGTCTGTCTGACTGTGTCTGGGTAGAGAGGATCAAATGGATTTGATTTCCTTAAGCTAGCTAGCTAGTTGCAGGTCAACATTTTGCACACTGTAAACATTAGGTATTCTACACACTGTAGAAGGATGAATCATTTTAACTCCATTTAGTTCCAATTTGCACATTGGCCCTGCAAATAGTACTGGGCTAACTTTTACAGTTGATACCGTAACACACGGACTAACTTTCTGTTCCCTCCCCTCTTAGTGCTGGAGTGGGCCGGACTGGCTGTTTCATCGTGATTGACGCCATGGTGGAGCGAATCAAACACGAGAAGACGGTTGACATCTACGGTCACGTGACCCTCATGAGGTAAAAATGGGCTGCTATGTTGAATCACTTTGGGGAAATCTCTCGTCCAAAAAGCACAGCATTCATGTTCATAACATTGAACCAATTACCACTGTAGGGAGTTTGTAGTTATTTCAAATGTTCTATTATTTTGCGGATACTTTACAGAAAATGCTAACTGAAACCAAAGACTGTGTGATTACCAGTGTTGCCAGTAAATTAACCCTGACTGAAACATTCAACTTTAGGTCCCAGCGGAACTACATGGTGCAGACGGAGGATCAGTATGCCTTTATTCACGACGCGCTGCTGGAAGCCGTCGCCTGTGGCAACACTGAGGTTCCGGCGCGGAACCTTTATGCCTACATCCAGACACTGACCAAAATAGAACCGGCGGAGAACGTCACGGGCATGGAACTGGAGTTCAAGGTACGTTCTAAAGGTTCTAGGGTTCTGTGGTGCTGTTCAGGAACACTGAAAAGTTGTGTCTGTGTGATCCAGGGACCTAGCCAGCACTACTGTACCTCCTTGCCCGTTCAAATAAAATATTTAAATATTGATCATTTATTTGACCGAGACGTGCGACGACAGCAAGACTCCTCAATCTCAGATAAAGCTTCAGAGCGAGGGAAACAGCGCCCCTCTGCCTCAGTATGTGCAGACCATGTATCTGATGCTGTCTGGACCAAAAGAGTATAACATGTTGCCCCCCCCCGTGGCACTCAGTGTTCGATTGGCTTCCTGTGGTTTCCTCTCCGTCTCTCTCTATATTGATCTGTTGTTCTTTCTCACACGAGTCAAGCAACGGTCAGAGTGTGTGTGTGTGTGTGTCTGTGTGTGTCTGTGTGTGTGTGTATGTGTGTGTGTGTGTGTGTGTGTGTGTGTGTGTGTGTGTGTGTGCGTGTGTGTGTGTGTGTGTGTGTGTGTGTGTGTGTGTTTGGGGTTTTGCTGACTCAGGATCAACTCTGGTTCACATGTGTGTTGAGACAGCCAGAGGGCCTGTGGTTTCCTCTCCCCCTTCTCCTCCTCTCCTCTCTGCCTCCTCTCCTCTCGTCTTCACCTCCTCTCTTCCTCCTCCCCTCTCTTCCTCCTCCCCTCTCTTCCTCCTCTCTTCTCTTCCTCCTCTCCTCTCTTCCTCTTCCCCCTCTCTTCCTCCTCTCCTCTCTTCCTCCTCTCCTCTCTCCATTATTTGGGGGAAAATTTTCAAAAACAACGAAACCCCCTTTTGGGGCCGTTTGCCGTAAAAACCACTGAAATTCCCCCCCAAACACTGGGAAAAACGGGGGACGTCCTTTTAAAGGGGTTTTTGGAAAAATCCCGGGAAACCCGGGTTCCGGGCCCGGGAAACCTTTTTTTTCCCCGACCCTAGAAAAAAGGGGGGCTCAGGGCAAAATAAAATTAAATACTTTAAAGCGGTTTGGGGCGCAACCCCAAAAAAGGGGGGGACCCGGGACCCCCCCCAAAAAACTTCCCGCAAAAAAAATTTTAAAAAAATTTTACTTTTTTTCCAGGTCGCACGGGCCCCTTCTTTAAATTAAAAGGGGAAACCCCGCCCAGGGCCCTTTTGTGTGTCTGGCCAAAAAAGGGCCCCCCCGGGGGGGGGGGGGGGGGTTTGGGGTTTTTTTTTTTTGGGGGGTTTTTTTGGTCGCAAATCAGGTTTTGGGGGGGGGGGTGTTGGGGGGGGTTTTTTTTGGGGGGTTTTTGGGGGGGGGGGGGGGGGGGGGGGGTGGGGGGGGGGGGGGAAGGAAAGGGACAGGGGGAAAAGAGAGGGTGGGCCCCCCCCCCCCCCCCCCCCCCCCCCGGACCCCCCCCCCCCCTTTTTTTTTTTTTTTGGGGGGGGCCCCCCCCCCCCCCCCCCCCCCCCCCCCCCCCCCCCCCCCCCCCCGGGGGGGGGGCCCCGGGGCCCCCCCGGGCCCCCCCCCGGGGGGGGCCCCCCCCGGGCCCCCCCCCCCCCCCCCCCCCCCCCCCCCCGGGGGGCCCCCCCCGGGGCGCCCCCCCCCCCTTCCCCCGGGGCCATTGCTCTGTTCTAACTAATGTCATGAATATAAGCATTATTTCAGGTGATATTTTTCTTAAGAATGGTTTAAAGCAATGTTATCTTGTTATAACATAACTTATCTATGTCATGACATATCATGTCCCACAGCATCTAGTCAATGCTAGGGTCAATCTTAAATATGAAGTCATGCTCTGTTCTGCTGTGTCATTCTATGTCTCATTATTACATGATGTGTAGCTATGTCACATTATAACACCCTATGTCAACCTCATCCCCTTCATAGCGCTTGACCACTTCCCTTCCTCCTCTCATGTCATATCTTGTTATGATACAATATGTAATGCTATGTCACATTATAACACCCCTATGTCATGCTACGTCACATTATAACAACCCTATGTCATCTCCCTCCCCCTCCATAGCGGTTGGCCAGTGCGAAGGCCCACACCTCCAGGTTTGTGAGTGCCAACCTGCCGTGTAACAAGTTCAAGAACCGTCTGGTGAACATCATGCCCTATGAGACCACCAGGGTCTGTCTGCAGCCAATCAGAGGAGTGGAGGGGTCAGACTACATCAACGGCAGCTTCATAGACGGATACAGGTGAGAGGGGAGGGGGGAGGGGGGAGGGGGGAGGGGGGGGAGAGGGTAGGGGGGAGAGGGGAGGTGTGTGTGTGTGTGTGTTTTTTTTTTTTACAGTAGCAAAGAGAACAATCAAAGACATACATTTCTTTGGAACAGCAAACATTTATTTACATTTATTTGAAATTGTCTATTGATTGGATGTGTCCATTGACTAAAACATTTTTATAGGACATATAAAAGAGGTTAGAAAGAGTTATTGTAATACAGTGCTTCTCAAACCTCAAGTTGAATCAGGTGTGCTAGCAAGTTGAATCAGCTGTGCCAGCTCTGGAATAGATCAAAGACACGGAACGGCTGGGGGTCCCTGGGGAGAGGTTGGAGAACGGCTGGGGGTCCTGAGGAGAGGTTTGGAACGGCTGGGGGTCCTGAGGAGAGGTTTGGAACGGCTGGGGGTCCCTGGGGAGAGGTTGGAGAACGGCTGGGGGTCCTGAGGAGAGGTTTGGAACAGCTGGGAGTCCTGAGGAGAGGTTTGGAACGGCTGTGGTCCTGAGGAGAGGTTTGGAACGGCTGGGGGTCCTGAGGAGAGGTTGGAGAACGGCTGGGGGTCCTGAGGAGAGGTTTGGAACGGCTGGGGGTCCTGAGGAGAGGTTTGGAACGGCTGGGGGTCCTGAGGAGAGGTTTGGAACGGCTGGGGGTCCTGAGGAAAGGTTTGGAACGGCTGGGGGTCCTGAGGAAAGGTTTGGAACGGCTGGGGGTCCTGAGGAGAGGTTTGGAACGGCTGGGGGTCCTGAGGAGAGGTTTGGAACGGCTGGGGGTCCTGAGGAGAGGTTTTGGAACGGCTGGGGGTCCTGAGGAGAGGTTTGGAACGGCTGGGGGTCTGAGGAGAGGTTTGGAACGGCTGGGGGTCCTGAGGAGAGGTTTGGAACGGCTGGGGGTCCTGAGGAGAGGTTTGGAACGGCTGGGGGTCCTGAGGAGAGGTTTGGAACGGCTGGGGGTCCCTGAGGAAAGGTTTGGAACGGCTGGGGGTCCTGAGGAGAGGTTTGGAACGGCTGGGAGTCCTGAGGAGAGGTTTGGAACGGCTGGGGGTCCTGAGGAGAGGTTTGGAACGGCTGGGGGTCCTGAGGAGAGGTTGGAGAACGGCTGGGGGTCCTGAGGAGAGGTTTGGAACGGCTGGGGGTCCTGAGGAGAGGTTTGGAACGGCTGGGGGTCCTGAGGAGAGGTTGGAGAACGGCTGGGGGTCCTGAGGAGAGGTTTGGATGGCTGGGGGTCCTGAGGAGAGGTTTGGAACGGCTGGGGGTCCTGAGGAGAGGTTTGGGACGGCTGGGGGTCCTGAGGAGAGGTTGGAGAACGTCTGGGGGTCCTGAGGAGAGGTTGGAGAACCCCTGTTGTAGTAGATGAACAATTTTATCAAAAAGTAAGATAAGAAACAGACAAAGCAAAAGCAAAACCCAACATACAATATTAAAATAATATTAAAACGTGGCCTGGGGTGGAACACAATAGCACCGCCTGGAGTTTGCTAAAAGGAATTGGCACTTGGATTGGAACCGGTGCTATGGTCAGATGACATGGAAAAAGAGCTCTTTGGCCGGGTGTACACCAGGGTGTGTTTGGTGTTGAAAAACGGAAGCATATGCAGAAAAGTATCTCATACCTATGGTAAAATATGGGGGTGGATCTTTGGTGTTATGGGGCTATTTTGCTTCTATTTTCCTTCCAATGGTCTTGACGCCCTTGTTAAGGTCAACGGCATCATGAACGTTACCAACTACCAGGACATTTTAGCCAAAAACCTGGTTGCATTTTACATTTACATTTTAGTCATTTAGCAGACGCTCTTATCCAGAGCGACTTTCTGCCTGGAGGCTGAAACTTGGCCGCAAATGGATCTTCCAGCAAGACAATAACTCCAAGCACACATCAAAATCCACAAATAAATTATTAATTGACCACAAAATCAACATTTTGCAATTCTCAGTCTCCGGACTTGAAACCCATTGAAAACCTGAATTAAAGGGTGCCGTTCATAAGTGCAGATTAAGGATATCAAGGATCTGGAAAGATTCTGTATGGAGGAATAGTCTAAAATCCCTCCCAATGTGTTCTCCAATCTCATAAAACATTTTAGAAAAAGGTTCAGTGTCGTTATCCTCGCAAGGAGATGCTGGCTGGGTGCTGCAGTATTGAAAACAGGAGTGCCAATAATTCTTCAAGGATGGCATCCTTTTAGGATGGCAGTTTGACTGAATGTATGGAGAGATAGATGGAGCAGTGGAATTCAATCCAGGATGGTTCAACATGTTTAAACCTTCAGCTACGAAGATCATTGGCACTGACAGATCCATGACAAGGGAAAAGTCCAGAGTCCCTCTCCCAAACCAAGCTGTAATGGTATCAGGGTGGATTACTAGTGAGATCAGTGACAAAAGATCCCTATCAGAACCCAGACAGTGAGAACATCCAGAGTTTCTCTTCCAAACCAAGCTGTTGCCCCAGTGTTACCCCTAGTGTTACCCCTAGTGTTACCCCTAGTGTTGCCCCTAGTGTTACCCCTAGTGTTACCCAGTGTTACCCTAGTGTTACCCCTAGTGTTTCCCCTAGTGTTGCCCCTAGTGTTTCCCCTAGTGTTGCCCCTAGTGTTACCCCTAGTGTTGCCCCTAGTGTTACCCCTAGTGTTACCCCTAGTGTTACCCCTAGTGTTTCCCCTAGTGTTGCCCTAGTGTTTCCCCTAGTGTTGCCCCTAGTGTTTCCCCTAGTGTTGCCCCTAGTGTTACCCCTAGTGTTGCCCCTAGTGTTTCCCCTAGTGTTGCCCCTAGTGTTACCCCTAGTGTTGCCCCTAGTGTTACCCCAGTGTTACCCCTAGTGTTGCCCCTAGTGTTACCCCTAGTGTTACCCCTAGTGTTGCCCCTAGTGTTGCCCCTAGTGTTACCCCTAGTGTTTCCCCTAGTGTTGCCCCTAGTGTTACCCCTAGTGTTGCCCACCAGTGTTGCCCCCAGTGTTACCCTAGTGTTTGCCCCAGTGTTACCCCTAGTGTTACCCCTAGTGTTGCCCCAAGTGTTACCCCAACTTCACCTGCCCACCCATAGATACCACTGCTCCATCTTACTCCAGCAGACAGAACCCCCTAGTGTTGCCCCTAGTGTTACCCCTAGTGTTACCCCAGTGTTGCCCCCAGTGTTACCCCTAGTGTTGCCCCTAGTGTTACCCACTAGTGTTACCCCTAGTGTTGCCCTAGTGTTGCCCCTAGTGTTACCCCTAGTGTTTCCCCTAGTGTTGCCCCTAGTGTTACCCTAGTGTTGCCCCCAGTGTTGCCCCAGTGTTACCCCTAGTGTTGCCCCAGTGTTACCCCTAGTGTTACCCCTAGTGTTGCCCCAAGTGTTACCCCAACTTCACCTGCCCACCCATAGATACCACTGCTCCATCTTACTCCAGCAGACAGAACCCCCTAGTGTTGCCCCTAGTGTTACCCCTTAGTGTTACCCCCCAGTGTTGCCCCCATGTGTTACCCCTAGTGTTACCCATAGTGTTACCCTAGTGTTACCCACTAGTGTGTACCCCTAGTTTTGTTGCCCTAGTGTTACCCCTAGTGTTACCCCAGTGTTGCCCCCAGTGTTACCCCTAGTGTTACCCTAGTGTTTACCCCTAGTGTTACCCCAGTGTTGCCCCCCAGTGTTTACCCCTAGTGTTACCCCTAGTGTTACCCCTAGTGTTACCCCTAGTGTTTCCCCTAGTGTTGCCCCAGTGTTACCCCTAGTGTTACCCCTAGTGTTACCCCTAGTGTTGCCCCCAGTGTTACCCCTAGTGTTACCCCTAGTGTTACCCTAGTGTTGCCCCTAGTGTTGCCCCAGTGTTTACCCCCTAGTGTTGCCCCTAGTGGTACCCCCCAGTGTTACCCCTAGTGTTACCCCTAGTGTTGCCCCTAGTGTTACCCCCCAGTGTTACCCCTAGTGTTACCCCTATGTGTTACCCTAGTGTTACCCCAGTGTTGCCCCAGTGTTACCCTAGTGTTTACCCCTAGTGTGCCCATAGTGGTTTACCCTAGTGTTGCCCCCTAGTGTTACCCTAGTGTTACCCCATACTGTTTCCCCTATTGTTGCCCCTAGTGTTACCCCTAGTGTTGACCCTAGTGTTACCCCCTTAGTGTTGCCCCCTAGTGTTACCCCAGTGTTACCCCTAGTGTTTCCCCTAGTGTTGCCCCTAGTGTGACCCCTAGTGTTACCCCTAGTGTTGACCCCCTCGTGTTGCCCCTAGTGTTACCCCTAGGTTTCCCCTAGTGTTGCCCCTAGTGTTACCCCTAGTGTTGCCCCAGTGTTACCCCTAGTGTTGCCCCAGTGTTACCCCTAGTGTTACCCCTAGTGTTGCCCCAAGTGTTACCCCAACTTCACCTGCCCACCCATAGATACCACTGCTCCATCTTACTCCAGCAGACAGAAACCCCCTAGTGTTGCCCCTAGTGGTTACCCCTAGTGTTACCCCCAGTGTTGCCCCCAGTGTTACCCACTAGTGTTCCCATAGTGTTACCCCTAGTGTTACCCCTAGTGTTACCCCTAGTGTTGCCCTAGTGTTACCCCTAGTGTTGCCCCTAGTGTTACCCCTAGTGTTACCCCTAGTGTTACCCCAGTGTTGCCCCTAGTGTTACCCCTAGTGTTACCCCTAGTGTTACCCCTAGTGTTACCCCAGTGTTGCCCCCAGTGTTACCCCTAGTGTTACCCCTAGTGTTACCCCTAGTGTTTCCCCTAGTGTTGCCCCAGTTGTTACCCCTAGTGTTACCCCTAGTGTTACCCTAGTGTTGCCCCAGTGTTACCCCTAGTGTTTACCCCTAGTGTTAACCTAGTGTTGCCCCAGTGTTTACCCTAGTGTTGCCCCAGTGTTACCCCTAGTGTTACCCCTAGTGTTACCCCTAGTGTTGCCCCTAGTGTTGCCCCAGTGTTACCCCTAGTGTTGCCCCAGTGTTACCCCTAGTGTTGCCCCAGTGTTGCCCCTAGTGATACCCCTAGTGTTACCCCTAGTGTTGCCCCTAGTGTTGCCCCTAGTGTTACCCCTAGTGTTTCCCCTAGTGTTGCCCCTAGTGTTACCCCTAGTGTTGCCCCAGTGTTACCCCTAGTGTTGCCCCAGTGTTACCCTAGTGTTACCCCTAGTGTTGCCCAAGTGTTACCCCACTTCACCTGCCCACCCATAGATCCCCATGCTCCATCTTACTCCAGCAGACAGAACCCCCTAGTGTTGCCCCTAGTGTTACCCCTAGTGTTACCCCAGTGTTGCCCCCAGTGTTACCCCTAGTGTTACCCCTAGTGTTACCCCTAGTGTTACCCCTAGTGTTGCCCCTAGTGTTACCCCTAGTGTTGCCCCTAGTGTTGCCCCAGTGTTACCCCTAGTGTTGCCCCAGTGTTACCCCCAGTGTTACCCCAGTGTTGCCCCTAGTGATCCCCTAGTGTGCCCCTAGTGTTGCCCATTGTTACCCTAGTGTGCCCCTAGTGTTACCCCTAGTGTTACCCCTAGTGTTGCCCCTAGTGTTACCCCTAGTGTTGCCCCTAGTGTTGCCCCTAGTGTTACCCCTAGTGTTGCCCCATAGATGTACCCTAGTGTTTGCCCCATAGTGTTACCCCCTAGTGTGTAACCCTTCCTAGTGTTACCCCTAGTGTTACCCCAGTGTTGCCCCTAGTGATACCCCTAGTGTTGCCCCTAGTGTTGCCCCTATTGTTACCCCTAGTGTTGCCCCTAGTGTTGCCCTAGTGTTGCCCCTAGTGTTGCCCCTAGTGTTACCCCTAGTGTTACCCCTAGTGTTACCCCAGTGTTGCCCCTAGTGATACCCCTAGTGTTACCCCTAGTGTTTCCCCTAGTGTTGCCCCTAGTGTTACCCTAGGTTGCCCCTTGTGTTACCCCTAGTGTTGCCCCTAGTGTTACCCCTAGTGTTACCCCAAGTGTTACCCCAACTCCACCTGCCCACCCATAGATACCACTGCTCCATCTTACTCCAGCAGACAGAACCACTCCTGCAGCGCCCTGCCGGACCCTACAGAGCCCCCACGGTCCCCTAGTGCTGACTGTTACTTCAGTAAGGCTGCTAATGTACCCCCTTCTACTGTTGTTGCTGCTGCTCCCAGGTCCACTGTTTCTGGACCAGACTGAGACGTCACAGCTGCTGCTAAGGCAGCCTCCATAGGTTGACACATCTACAGTAGGCTGCTTTCACCCTCACATCTACAGTAGGCTGCTTTCACCCTCACATCTACAGTAGGCTGCTTTCACCCTCACATCTACAGTAGGCTGCTTTCACCCACACATCTACAGTAGGCTGCTTTCACCCTCACATCTACAGTAGGCTGCTTTCACCCTCACATCTACAGTAGGCTGCTTTCACCCTCACATCTACAGTAGGCTGCTTTCACCCTCACATCTAACAGTAGGCTGCTTTCACCCTCACATCTACAGTAGGCTGCTTTCACCCTCACATCTACAGTAGGCTGCTTTCACCCTCAAATCTACAGTAGGCTGCTTTCACCCTCACATCTACAGTAGGCTACTTTCACCCTCACATCTACAGTAGGCTGCTTTCACCCTCACATCTACAGTAGTCTCCTTTCACTAAAGTTGGGGGGAAGCTGAACTTTATTAAAATCCTCAGTGACCAATCAAAGCTCACCACAGCTTCAATCCCCTACTGGATTGGCTGACAGCGGCTGTTGATGAGTAGCACTACCTACCTAGCTTGCTTGCTAGCACCCACATGAGGGCAAGCCTGGCGTGGCTTGGCCAGTGCTGCTTGTATAGTGTAAACGTCCAGCTGAGCCTTAGCCCAGTCACAAACCACTTAACACAAGACAATAACGGTGACCTCGAATATTCATCACTGTTGGGGGCGGGGTTGTCAACCAAACAGCAGTCAGCGTTTAGTATGTATCAAGCTTGATCACGGAGACGGCGCACTAAATGGCACCCTATTCCCTATGAAGTGCACTACTTTTGAGCAGGGTCCTATAGGGAACAGAGAGACCCCTATTCCCTATGAAGTGCACTACTTTTGACCAGGGCCCTATAGGGAACAGAGAGACCCCTATTCCCTATGAGGGCCATAGGGAACAGAGAGACCCCTATTCCCTATTAAGTGCACTACTTTTGACCAAGGCCCTATAGGGAACAGGGAGATATTTGGAACGGGGCCATAGAATGAGGTCTAGCAGGTTCTAGTGCTTCAGTGTTGTTAGACACGTTTTACTTTTTAACCATGACTTTGACACAGTAAATGAACTGAAAGAAATGGCGCCGTTTTCCACAGTGGTGTGGGTAAAGGAATACACGCCTCTACAACGGATAGACTGAAGGCTGGAATACACTGAAACGTGACCAGAGAATTGGTAGGAATGAGTGTAAAGAGACATGTTCCCCTCCGAATCAGACACCAGACAGATTTTGATTCTAATTTACGGCCAGCATGTTGGATCACAGTAAAATAGTCCAATGTCAGCAGACTCTGTCATTATTTGCAACAGCACTGATAATAAGGTGTCCCACACTTTGAGGCTATGCACAAATTAAAGGAGTGTGGCTTTTAAAAACAGGAAGAGCATTGATATATAACAAATGATGATGTGTGCTCATTGTGGCTCTGGTCTTACCATGCTGGTCCAATGTTCATGCGGAGAGTCACTGGATCGACCTGCCTCTGTTGCTGTCTTCCCGCTGTTGGAAACAACCTTCCGTCTGACAGTGTCCTGAGGTACAGGTGATTACGTCGTCGCACCGTGGCAGGAGGCGGGGCCAGGTGCGTTCTAGGCTCCACTACATTACAGACATTTTCATTGCATCAAAAAACCCATGTCACGTCATTGACTGAGCAGTCTGGCATCAGATTGCTATAGCAGATGATGTGGTTTTGCTGATATGTTAAACACCTATCCAGGTGTTGTGAGATCTGGCAGGTGTCTGTAATGTAGTCATCCTGGAACGCATCCTTTCCAGGTGTTGTGAGATCTGGCAGGTGTCTGTAATGTAGTCATCCTGGAACGCACCCTTTCCAGTGTGTGTATCTGGCATGTCCTAATCAACCTGGGACCGCACCCTATCCAGGTGTTGTGAGATCTGGCAGGTGTCTAATGTAGTCATCCTGGAACGCACCCTTTCCAGGTGTTGTGAGATCTGGAAGGTGTCTGTAATGTAGTCATCCTGGAACGCACCCTTTCCAGGTGTTGTGAGATCTGGAAGGTGTCTGTAATGTAGTCATCCTGGAACGCACCCTATCCAGGTGTTGTGAGATCTGGCAGGTGTCTAATGTAGTCATCCTGGAACGCACCCTATCCAGGTGTTGTGAGATCTGGAAGGTGTCTGTAATGTAATCATCCTCTAACATTATTCAAACAAATTCAAACAAATTTATTTTTTAATTTGTTAGTTTATATACATATTTTTTGGGGACATATAAAAAAAGGGTAGATACAGTTTTTGAAATAGATGTACAATTATATCCATTTTTTAACAACAAGGGGAGTAAGCATCATGCATACAGATTACAATCAAAAGACCCTCCCGCCCCAACAAGCAAAATAATACCCAACATACAATATTAAAATAATATTAAAATAAAAGCCAACATTCCCTGTTAGTCCATTGACAATGTTTATATTTTTTTATTTAAGAACAAATTCTTATTTACAATGACTACCTGGAGTCCTATACATACAGGTGATAAACTGAAATTAAAATACAATGATTACAAAGGCATGAAAAATATCCCTTTCACACACAGACCAAAATCCCACTAATTTACCATACCAGCTTTTTGGTATATCTGAAAGGCATAGAAAAACATAGAGAAATAACAGCCACTTAAAGACCTAGTCATGATTCCTGCATTTTCACAGACCCTGTAACAAAAACAATACAGCTATGAGTCTGTGTGAATGGTTCTCTGCTTTTTTGCAGGTAAATTCATGAACACTTCCATTGTTTAAAACCTCCCTAATTTGAACTGCAACCAGCCCCCATGGTTTAACAACACCCCCCACCCCTCCCAATTCACCAGTTACCCACTGATATGTATAAAAGTGTCTACCAGCAAACAAGTGGTTACTAAGGGGCTGTATGAAAGGGGGTCATATGAACATTGCCTTAGATTTTTGTTTTACAGGTAACACACCACATCTTCTGTCTGAAATGGCTATAAAAGAAACATTCAGTCAGACGATTTCTATATCTCTTCTGTGGATATTGTATCTGAGATTCTTTCCCCTTGATGAGCTGGTCTGGTAGGATCCACAACGATTAAGGAGAGCAGCGAGATCAGAAAGATCCATATTAAAATCCACAGTGTGAAATAACTCAGAGTCCATCTCCCAAACCACGTGGCGCACATCGCCCCCAGCGTCGCCCCCAGTCTCCCGGCCTTCCCGTAGCTGCTGCTGCTGCGTCTCAGGGCCGCAGACAGAGCCACCCCTGCAGCTGCCGCCGGACCAAACAGAGCCCCCAGGGTCCCCCAGTCCCCCAGGATTGACTGGGACTTCAAGGCTGCTAATATCCCGGTGCCTATGCCTGCCGCTGCCTTCAGTTTGACCGCTCCCTTACCGAACTGAACCGACACCCCAGCTGCCAACGCAGCTACAAAGGGAGACACAACGATAAAGATGACTTTCACAGCCATTTCTACAGTGTATTTGTACACAGTGAGGATGTCGGTCAGTCCTCCGATGGCTGTTTCCAAGAGGAATCCCACACCTCCGCATATAGCAGAGGTCCCCATCAGGACCACTGTTACCACGGCAGCCACCTCCGTAGCGTCCGGCTCGGTCTCCCCGGCCTTCCTGATTGCCATAGACGCAGCAAGGCACAGTATTCCTCCTACTACCATGGGCAGAAACAACATCAGGAACATTCCTATCAAGAGGGTCTGGAACATGACGAGCCCCTTCTCTGCCTCTGATTCTCCCCTATTAATGTCTTCTGGTGGAGGTCCCAGGCCACCTAGTTCTGCTGCCATTGTGGAGGATAGCAGGTAGCCTCCAGGTACTCCAGAGATGAAGCCCAGCACTGCTGCTCCTACAGCTTTCCAGATATCTATATGGAGAGGGGGAGGGAGAGAGGGGTGTAGAGAGAGAGAGAGAGAGAGAGAGAACAGAGAGAGAGAGAGAGATAGAAAGAGAAGAGATAGAGAGAGAGAGAGAGAGAGAAGAGAGAGAAAGAGAATAAGAGAGAGAAGAGAGAGAGAGAGAGAGAGAGAGAGAGACGGAGAGAGAGAGGAGAGAGAAATAGAGAGTAGAGAGAGATATAGAGGATCAGAGAGAGAAGAGAGAGAAGACGAGAACTTGAGAGATATAGACTACGTAGTACATCTAGGAGGATAGACAGATGATAGGAATACATTGACGACTAAATAATATACGATCTGTCTATAGTCTTATATATCATATGCTCTATCATCGATATCAGACTCTCTATCTCTCTCTATATATATCCTCCTATCTATCTACTCGATATATCTCCTTCTATATTCTCCTAATACTCTCTCTCTATCTTCTCCGTATTCTCTCTCTCTCTATCTCGCTATCTTATTCTCTCTCCCTCTATCTTCTAGCTCTATATCGCCCTTTCCTATATATTATATCATTCTATCTATCTCCGACTATACACTTGCGATATATCCGCACTACTATACTTACCCTCTCCATATCGCTATATACTATATAGAGATAGAGAGAGATTGCTAGATATAGATATAGTTAGGTAATAGGGGTTGGGTAAACCAGTTTGATATCAGACCTGGGTTCAAATACTATTTCAAATATCTCAGTTACTTTTACATACATTTGAAGTATGTATTCAGATATCTTATTTGAAAAGAAAAGTAGTTAAATACTTATTCAAGTAGTATAAATACACTTGGAATGTATTAGAAAAATGCAATTACACTGGCTCAAATGCTCTCCCATGCATTTAAACACAGGTATTTGAAATAAGTATTTGTAAATCCTCTTAAATACAATTTGGTTGACTATTTGGTTTTTACAAATAACCATTCAAATACTCAAATAAAAGTACTTGTTTTGGGCTGTGTATTTGAAAATACTCAAAAACACAGAAAAAATTATTTTAAATACCAGATACTCTAATACACATGTATTAACCAGGTCTGGTGGAGAGGGAGGAATGAGGGAGGGGGTGGGGGAGGGAGAGAGAGAGTGTGGGGGAGGGTTAGAGGAGGAGAAAATTGATAAATGTTTATTAAGAAGCCAGTCAACATGAGTTTAACATACAACTAGCATGCCACGTTCCTAACAAATAACCAAGGTCTCTGATAGGACAGCCTGAGAGATGGTAGTAAAGAACACTTTTACTACAATAAACTGAAAGGTAATGTTACAGCTAGCTGTCTGGTCTGGCATCAGTGTCAGGGCTCCTTTTAATGTTACAGCTAGCTATCTGGTCTGGCATCAGTGTCAGGGCTCCTTTTAATGTTACAGCTAGCTATCTGGTCTGGCATCAGTGTCAGGGCTCCTTTTAATGTTACAGCTAGCTATCTGGTCTGGCATCAGTGTCAGGGCTCCTTTTAATGTTACAGCTAGCTATCTGGTCTGGCATCAGCGTCAGGGCTCGTTTTAATGTTACAGCTAGCTATGTTGTCTGGCATCAGCGTCAGGGCTCCTTTTAATGTTACCTCTAGCTATGTTGTCTGGCATCAGCGTCAGGGCTCCTTTTAATGTTACCTCTCGCTATCTTATCTGGCATCATCATCAGGGCTCCTTTTAATGTTACCTCTAGCTATCTTCTCTGGCATCAGCGTCAGGGCTCCTTTTAATGTTACCTCTCGCTATCTTATCTGGCATCATCATCAGGGCTCCTTTTAATGTTACCTCTAGCTATCTTCTCTGGCATCAGCGTCAGGGCTCCTTTTAATGATACAGCTAGCTATCTTCTCTGGCATCAGTGTCAGGGCTCCTTTTAATGATACAGCTAGCTATCTCTTCTGGCATCAGCGTCAGGACTCCTTTTAATGATACAGCTAGCTTTCTCCTCTGGCATCAGTGTCAGGGCTCCTTTTAATGATACAGCTAGCTATCTCCTCTGGCATCAGCGTCAGGGCTCCTTTTAATGATACAGCTAGCTATCTCCTCTGGCATCAGTGTCAGGGCTCCTTTTAATGATACAGCTAGCTATCTCCTCTGGCATCAGTGTCAGGGCTCCTTTTAATGATACAGCTAGCTATCTCCTCTGGCATCAGCGTCAGGGCTCCTTTTAATGATACAGCTAGCTATCTCCTCTGGCATCAGCGTCAGGGCTCCTTTTAATGATACAGCTAGCTATCTCCTCTGGCATCAGCGTAATGATACAGCTAGCTATCTCCTCTGGCATCAGCGTAATGATTCACCTAGCTATCTCCTCTGGCATCAGTGTCAGGGCTCCTTTTAATGTTACAGCTAGCTATCTCCTCTGGCATCAGCGTCAGGGCTCCTTTTAGTCTAGTAGTTCAACAGTCAATGTTCCTAAACTCAGTCAGTCAGACACAGATCAAGAAACACGGTCTAATGAGAATAACCTCTAATATTACAGGTATTGTCTTATCACCACCGGCTGTTGGCAACCAGTGTTGGACTCAACACATTTAGCTTTATCCATAACTTTGACACAGTTAATGAACTGAAAGAGAGAGACATGCTTCTCACAGAATCAGACCAGACAGGTTTTATTGTAACGTCAAGTCGGCAAATCTTGTCATTGACTCTGTCATTATTTGCTACAACACTGATAACACCTGGGGCCATTAATGGTGGCCCACTCTCTGAGGCCTGTGTGCAACAGATGAAGGAGTGTGGCTTTAAACAGAAAGAGCGTTGGTATATAACAAATGACGATGCCGTGTTTATTGTGGCTCTAGTCTTACCCTGACTGTCCAACGTTGACATCGTTGATACGGAGAGTCACTGGATCAACCTGCCTCTGGTGCGCTCTTCCTGTTATTGAAATGTACTTCTCTGTCTGACACTAACAAACAGTGACCGAGGTCCAGGTGACTGTATCATCACCCTGGGACAGAAATCCAACCAGTAGAAGGGGGGAGGGCGTGGCCTCAGTAGAAGGGTGTCTGTGTGGGTGTGTGTGTGTGTGTGTGTGTGTGTGTGTGTGTGTGTGATGATTGTAAAGTATGTCTTTGTGTGTGTGTCTCTATACAGGCAGCAGAGGGCTTATATAGCCACCCAGGGCCCGCTGGCTGAGACTACTGAGGACTACTGGAGAATGTTGTGGGAACACAACTCTACCATAGTGGTCATGTTGACTAAACTAAGGGAGATGGGACGGGTAAGAACACACACACACACACACACGCTGCATGCACCCACACCTACCATTCATACACACACACACACACCCTATGTTAACCCTCATTGTGTGTCCCTCTATAGGAGAAGTGCCATTAGTACTGGCCAGCAGAACACACACACACCAGTGTTCATTTTGGCAGCTATTTTAGATGTAGTTTTAGTCTTAAAATACCTTTTTTAGTTTTAGTCACATTTTTTTTTGTCATCTCATCCTTCGTTAATTTTAGTTATTATCAGTCGACTGAAACTCTGGACAACTTTAGTCTAGTTTTAGTTATTATCAGTCCACTGAAACTCTGGACAACTTTAGTCTAGTTTTAGTTATTATCAGTCGACTGAAACTCTGGACAACTTTAGTCTAGTTTTAGTCAGTCATTTTAGTCACATGATAGTCATTGTTTTCTATTTAATAATGAATATTTAGGCTTCCTCTAACTTCCATCATGTCCCATTCAGATAGCCTTGTCCAGCTAGGACTACTGTCCCCTCCCATTCAGATAGCCTTGTCCAGCTAGGACTACTGTCCCCTCCTATTCAGATAGCCTTGTCCAGCTAGGACTACTGTCCCCTCCCATTCAGATAGCCTTGTCCAGCTAGGACTACTGTCCCCTCCCATTCAGATAGCCTTGTCCAGCTAGGACTACTGTCCCCTCCCATTCAGATAGCCTTGTCCAGCTAGCTGGACTACTGTCCCCTCCCATTCAGATAGCCTTGTCCAGCTAGGACTACTGTCCCCTCCTATTCAGATAGCCTTGTCCAGCTAGGACTACTGTCCCCTCCCATTCAGATAGCCTTGTCCAGCTAGGACTACTGTCCCCTCCTATTCAGATAGCCTTGTCCAGCTAGGACTACTGTCCCCTCCCATTCAGATAGCCTTGTCCAGCTAGGACTACTGTCCCCTCCCATTCAGATAGCCTTGTCCAGCTAGGACTACTGTCCCCTCCCATTCAGATAGCCTTGTCCAGCTAGCTGGACTACTGTCCCCTCCCATTCAGATAGCCTTGTCCAGCTAGGACTACTGTCCCCTCCCATTCAGATAGCCTTGTCCAGCTAGGACTACTGTCCCCTCCTATACAGATAGCCTTGTCCAGCTAGGACTACTGTCCCCTCCTATTCAGATAGCCTTGTCCAGCTAGGACTACTGTCCCCTCCTATACAGATAGCCTTGTCCAGCTAGGACTACTGTCCCCTCCTATACAGATAGCCTTGTCCAGCTAGGACTACTGTCCCCTCCTATTCAGATAGCCTTGTCCAGCTAGGACTACTGTCCCCTCCCATTCAGATAGCCTTGTCCAGCTAGGCCTACTGTCCCCTCCTATTCAGATAGCCTTGTCCAGCTAGGACTACTGTCCCCTCCTATTCAGATAGCCTTGTCCAGCTAGGACTACTGTCCCCTCCCATTCAGATAGCCTTGTCCAGCTAGGACTACTGTCCCCTCCCATTCAGATAGCCTTGTCCAGCTAGGACTACTGTCCCCTCCCATTCAGATAGCCTTGTCCAGCTAGGACTACTGTCCCCTCCCATTCAGATAGCCTTGTCCAGCTAGGACTACTGTCCCCTCCCATTCAGATAGCCTTGTCCAGCTAGGACTACTGTCCCCTCCCATTCAGATAGCCTTGTCCAGCTAGGACTACTGTCCCCTCCCATTCAGATAGCCTTGTCCAGCTAGGACTACTGTCCCCTCCTATTCAGATAGCCTTGTCCAGCTAGGCCTACTGTCCCCTCCCATTCAGATAGCCTTGTCCAGCTAGGACTACTGTCCCCTCCTATACAGATAGCCTTGTCCAGCTAGGACTACTGTCCCCTCCTATTCAGATAGCCTTGTCCAGCTAGGACTACTGTCCCCTCCTATTCAGATAGCCTTGTCCAGCTAGGACTACTGTCCCCTCCTATTCAGATAGCCTTGTCCAGCTAGGACTACTGTCCCCTCCTATTCAGATAGCCTTGTCCAGCTAGGACTACTGTCCCCTCCCATTCAGATAGCCTTGTCCAGCTAGGACTACTGTCCCCTCCCATTCAGATAGCCTTGTCCAGCTAGGACTACTGTCCCCTCCTATTCAGATAGCCTTGTCCAGCTAGGCCTACTGTCCCCTCCTATTCAGATAGCCTTGTCTAGCTAGGACTACTGTCCCCTCCTATTCAGATAGCCTTGTCCAGCTAGGACTACTGTCCCCTCCTATTCAGATAGCCTTGTCCAGCTAGGACTACTGTCCCCTCCCATTCAGATAGCCTTGTCCAGCTAGGACTACTGTCCCCTCCTATACCTTAGCTGGCAACATCAATATTCAGGCAGATTGTAACCAATGCCAGCCGTAATTAATCATACAGTGCATTCAGAAAGTATTCAGACCCCTTCCCTTTTTCTACATTTTGTTACATTACAGCCTTATTCTAAAATGGATTTAAAAAATAAATAATTATCTCATCAATCTATACACATTAAATATTAAAAATAAAAAACATTAATATTACATTTAAATAAGTATTCAGACCCTTTACTCAGTACTTTGTTGAAGCACTTTTGACAGTGATTACAGCCTTGAGTCTTCTTGGGTATGACGCTACAAGCTCGGCACACCTGTATTTGGGGAGTTTCTCCCATTCTACTCTGCAGATCCTCTCAAGCTCTGTCAGGTTGGATGGGGAGAGTCGCTGCACAGCTAATTTCAGGTCTCTCCAGAGATGTTTGATCTGGTTCAAGTCCGGGCTCTGGCTGAGCCACTCAAGGACATTCAGAGACTTGTCCCAAAGCCACTCCTGCATTGTCTTGGCTGTGTGCTTAGGGTCGTTGTCCTGTTGGAAGGTGAACCTTCGCCCCAGTCTGAGGTCCTGAGCACTCTGGAGCAGGTTTTCATCAAGGATCGCTCTGTACTTTGCTCCGTTCATCTTTGCCTCGATCCTGACTAGTCTCCCAGTCCCTGCAACTGAAAAACATCACCACAGCATGATGCTGCCACCACCATGCTTCACTGTAGGGATGGTGCCAGGTTTCCTCCAGACGTGACGCTTGGCATTCAGGCCAAAGAGTTCAATCTTGGTTTCATCAGACCAGAGAATCTTGTTTCTCATGGTCTGAGAGTCTTTAGGTGCCTTTTGGCAAACTCCAAGCGGGCTGTCATGTGCTTTTTACTGAGGAGTGGCTTCCGTCTGGCCACTCTACTATAAAGGCTTGATTGGTGGAGTGCTGCAGAGATGGTTGTCCTTCTGGAAGATTCTCCCATCTCCACAGACAAACTCTGGACCTCTGTCAGAGTGACCATCAGGTTCTTGGTCACCTCCCTGACCAAGACCCTTCTCCCCCGATTTCTCAGTTTGGCCGGGCGGCCAGCTCTAGGAAGAGTCTTGGTGGTTCCAAACTTCTTCCATTTAAGAATGATGGAGGCCACTGTGTTCTTGGGGACCTTCAATGCTGCAGACATTTTTTGGTACCCTTCCCCAGATCTGTGCCTCGACACAATCCTGTCTTGGAGCTCTACGGATGATTCCTTCGACCTCATGGCTTGGTTTGTTTTTAGTTACAAGTCCAGTGTCCTGGCTTCACATCAGTTCAAAAGATTGAAGAGTGACTGAAGAGACTGCCTGGAAGCTGTGTGGGAGAGCCGGTTAGATCAGCACAATCAGATCAAATCAAATCAAATCAAATGTTATTTGTCACATACACGTGTTTAGCAGATGTTATTGCGGGTGTAGCGAAATGCTTGTGCTTCTAGCTCCGACAGTGCAGTAATATCTAACAAGTCATATCTAACAATTTCACAACATATACCCAATACACACAAATCTAGTAGGGAATGGAATTTAAGAATATATACATATATGGACAAGCAATGACAGAGTGGCATGGACTAAGATACAGTAGAATATTATAGAATAGAATACAGTATATACATATGAGATGAGTAGTGCAAGATATGTAAACATTATTAAAGTGACTAGTGTTCCATTTCTTAAAGTGGCCAGTGATTTCAATAGGCAGCAGCAGCCTCTAATATGCTAGTGATGGCTATTTAACAGTCTGATGGCCTTGAGATAGAAGCTGTTTATCATTCTCTCGGTCCAAGCTTTGATGCAACTGTACTGACCTCTCCTTCTGGATGATAGCGGGGTGAACAGGCAGTGGCTCGGGTGGTTGATGTCCTTGATGATCTTTTTGGCCTTCCTGTGACATCGGGTGCTGTAGGTGTCTTGGAGAGCGGGTAGTTTGCCCCCGGTAATGCGTTCGGCAGACCGCACCACCCTCTGGAGAGCCCTGCGGTTGCGGGCGGTGCAGTTGCCATACCAGGCAGTGATACAGTCCGACAGGATGCTCTCAATTGTACATCTGTAAAAGTTTGTGAGGGTTTTAGGTGCCAAGCCAAATTTCTTCAGCCTCCTGAGGTTGAAGAGGCTATGTTGCGCCTTCTTCATCACGTGGGTGGACCACACAACTGAAAGATGTTAATTCTGCCAATGAGATTACATGAAATATTCTTCATGCATGTTTAGGATGGAAAGGAGCTTCATGTCAAATGAAATGTCCATTAGTCTAACGTGGAATTCTCGTCTCGTCACATTTTCATAGACTAAAATGAAAAGTCATTTTGTTACAATTATGTTTTTTTCCAGGGCATCTCGTCTTGTTATCATCATAGTTTTAGTCCGGAAAAATAGGTCGTTGCCGAGTATTTTTCGTCATAGTTATTGTTCACTAAATTTACACTGACACACACACAGCTTTGTTTTTGTGAAATTTCAGGACTTTTTGGAGTGTAAACATTTTTGACCGTTAAAAATCCTATATTCCCTAACCCCTAAAACTAAACCTAACCCTAACCTTAACCCCAAAAACCCTAAACCTAACCCTTAAACTTAAAAACAGCATTTGAACAAATTCAGGACCTGAACAAAGTCCTGCCTTTTCAACACAGTTCTTGTTTTCCTACCTTGTCAGGACATTAAGGTGAAATGTGAGGACATTGGGGTCCTGATAATGTAGGGAAACAAATACACACACACACACACACAAACACAAACACACACACACACACACACAATGTTAACCCTCATTGTGTCTCCCCCTACAGGAGAAGTGCCATCAGTACTGGCCAGCAGAGCGCTCAGCCAGGTACCAGTACTTTGTAGTGGACCCCATGGCCGAGTACAACATGCCCCAGTACATCCTACGAGAGTTCAAAGTCACCGATGCCAGAGTGAGTGGGGGAGGGACTGTGTGTGATTAGTTATTTCTCACAATTGATTTTGCTGTGTGTGTGTGTGTGTGTGTGTGTGTGTGTGTGTGTATAAGACTGTGTGTTTTAATCAACCTACTGTCTTGTGTTCTGATTGGTTGATCCTTTTTTTTCCAGGACGGCCAGTCTCGGACGGTCCGTCAGTTCCAGTTCACTGATTGGCCGGAGCAAGGAGTGCCAAAGTCAGGGGAGGGGTTCATTGATTTCATTGGCCAGGTGCACAAAACTAAAGAGCAGTTTGGCCAGGACGGACCAATCACGGTGCACTGTAGGTAAGGTACCGCCTCCCTCAGCGCCTCATTAGTCTGACCTGATGTCATCTAACTCCAGATATGTATTTTTTTTGTTATTCAGTATACAGGTACAAACATTGAACAAGCAGATTTTAAAAAAGCACATGTTCAATAAAAACATAAGTATTACACGGAGATAGACACAGAACCTGTTTAATGTGGCACTACTATTCACAGAGAAATGCATGAAGCACGGCAGCCATTTTGTGATCTAATCTGTGGTGTTTTCTGTGTGGTCCGTCAGTGCTGGTGTGGGCAGGACAGGGGTCTTCGTCACTCTAAGTATCGTTCTGGAGAGGATGAGATATGAAGGAGTAGTGGACATCTTCCAGACTGTCAAGATGCTGCGAACACAGAGACCTGCTACCGTTCAAACTGAGGTGAGATATTCAACTCTCAGTAATAGGTGTGTTGTTGTTGTTCTGTTTGTGGTGAGATATTCAACTCTCAGTAATACTAAGGTCAACTATTGTCTTAGGTTTGGTGTGTGTGTCTGGAGAACGATAACTACTGCTTCTAATAGTAGCGTCTGTACCGTTGGACCACATCTACAAGGATTGACCAGGCTACTACTGCTAATACTACTACTACTGCTGCTACTACTGCTACTGCTGCTACTACTACTACTACTACTACTACTACTACTACTACTACTACTACTACTACTACTACTACTACTACTACTACTACTACTACTACTACTACTACTACTACTGCTACTACTACTTCTCTACTACTACTACTACTACTACTACTACTACTACTACTACTACCCTTTCTACTGCTACTACTACTTTCTACTACTGCTGCTACTACTGCTATACTACTACTACTACTACTACTCTACTACTACGCTCTCCTGCTACTACTACTACTACTACTACTACTACTTACTCACTACTACTACCTCTACTACTACTACTATACATACTACTACTACTACTACATACTATACTACTACTACTACGTACTACTACTGCTACTGCTACTGCTACTACTACTACTAATACACTACTACTACTTACTCTGCTACTACTATCTACTACTACTAAATACTCTACTACTACTACTCTACGTACTACTCTACTACTCTGACTACTACTACTACTACTACTACTACTCACTACTACTATCTACTACTACTACTAACTACTACTCTAACTGCTACTACTACTGCTACCTACTACTACTACACTACTACTACTACTATACTATTACTGCTACTGCTACTCTACTACTACTACTACTGCTACTGCTACTACTACTACTACTACTTACTATCACTACTACTACTACTACTACTTACTACTATTACTATACTCTACTACTACTCTACTACTACTACTACTACTACTACTACTACTACTACTACTACTACTACTACTACTACTACTACTCTACTGCTACTACTGCTATACTCTACTACTACTACTCTACTACTACTGCTACTACTACTACTACTATCTAACTACTGCTACTACTGCTCTACTACTACTACTACTACTACTATCTACTACTACTCTACTACTACTACTACTTACATACTACTACTACTGCTACTACTCACTACTACTACTACTACTACTACTACTACTACTGACTACTACTACTACTACTACTACTACTACTACTACTACTACTGCTACCACAAATGATGCTACGACTGCTACTAGTACTACTGCTGCTACAGTGTTGTTGTTATTGTTGTTGATGATTATAATTGGTGTGTTGTTGTTGTTCTGTTTGTTTCAGGACCAGTACCAGTTCTGTTACCGGGCCGGTCTGGAGTATCTGGGTAGCTTCGACCACTATGCAACATAATCCCTCCCTCTGGCCACATCCCAAACAACACCCTAACTCCCTGTGTAGTGCACTACTTTAGACCACAGTGTATTCTCTCTTCTTTGGACCAGAGTGTACACTCAAAAGTACCGCAATACTGGTTAGTGCACTACACAGGGAATACGGGCCGTTCGAGGTTAGGCCTCCATGGGCACCCATGGCTCGACCCCTCCCCCGAAACGAGCACCTAAACTGAGCCATATTTGCGTGTCTGACCAGGGGTACCTCCAGCCCTAACCCAAACCCACTCACCACTCAGTCAGAAGTGCACTACTTTGTGCACTATATAGGGAATAGGGTGCCATTTTGGACGCAAACTGGCACTACTGAACAATGGATTGAGGATTCAATGGATTGATAATGGAACAATTCTTTACATGGTAAAGGAAGATAGTTAGGGGAACTCACTTCCTCCACGACCGATGTGTACCAAGCAGCACCCACCTGGATATGTACTGGACTACAGTAGGATGACAAACATACCATCATTTGTTTTATTTTATCAAGAAAGTCCACTTTCTGGTTTCCGGCATGGATTGATTGATTGGACGTTGTCGGGACGATGCAGAGAGACTTTTGAGGATTGAAAATGAAAGGAACAAACTGTGTTAATGAAACGAGACTCCTTGGAATCATGGATCATGAAAGACACCAGTTTTCTTTGGGACCGGAATGTTGTTTCAGGTGAATGAAGAAGGAGAGGAGGAGGATGAAGAGGAGGAGGAAGAGGAAGAGGAGGATATTTCTATAGTAATAAGTCATAATGAGCACCAACTCAACCTTATGGGCCCAATTCAATCAAATCCGCATTCCGATATTTACGCAGTAGCGGTTTATTTTACCCATGGTCAAATGATCAAATGGCATGACATAATGGTTTTGGGAGTAATGTAAACACCTACTACTGCCAGGTAGACTCCCCTGACAGGTAGATGCTTCCAGCTCACAGAAGTGTGGGTACGTGAAGACACCAATTTAAAAAACAAAGACACTGCAGAAACATTTCTAAATGCGAGTTTGATTGAATACCTGCCTGTGTGTCACTGTTGAAGAGGAATCGGTAAAGGGTTAAAAAATCACCACAAAGTATAAACAACATCCATCTCGTTTTGTAGTACTATATAGATCTGTGATTATCTTTTTATTTTATTTTTTACTCTGTAAGAAATGTATTCCGTTTGTTTTTTACTGACTTGTGACTTTGTCTCGTCCTATGATTACGACAAGGTTGCAACGCATTTCTTTTGTATTGTAGGTTTTTTAAAAGCTGTGTTACTGTTCAAAAGCTGTGGTACTGTTTTAATGTGTACAATCAAGCAAAGTGAAATGGTTTACAGTTGGCTTTACACCATTATTGATGTGTCACTCACTCCTCTGTCGTTCTCTTGTTCTTGTTCTTGTTCTTGCACTCTCTCTCTCTCTCTCTCTCTCTCTCTCTCCTCTCTCTCTCTCTCTCTCTCTCTCTCTCTCTCTCTCAATCTCTAGTGCGCTCTCTCTCTCTCTCTCTCTCTCTGTCTCTCTGTCTCTCTCTCTCTCTCTCTCTCTCTCCTTCTCTCTCTCTCTCTCCTTCTCTCTCCTTCTCTCTCTCTCTCTCTCCTTCTCTCTCTCTCTCTCTCTCCCTCCTCTCTTCCTCTCCTCTCTCTCTCTCTCTCTCTCTCTCTCTCTCTATTTAACACTATCAATCATTTTCTGGGTTTCTGGACTCTCGTCTTCTCATAATCAGTGGGGCTAGGAGTATTTCCTTTCCTGACCATGTGACCTGATCAGGAGAAACTCTAAACTCCTGGCCCTAATCCTCAGTACTAAGGCCAATACATGGCAGCCATTTCGACATGGCGGCCATTTTGAATGACCAGGGACCAGCTAATTATGATTCTGCTGCTATCAAAACACTCAACTTTTCCACCAGACAGTGATGTATACAGTGTATACTGACCAGTTTATACTAACCAGTGTATACTACAGTGTACTACAGTGTATACTAACTAGTGTATACTAACCAGTGTATACTACAGTGTACTCCAGTGTATACTACAGTGTACTCCAGTGTATACTAACCAGTGTATACTACAGTGTACTCCAGTGTATACTACAGTGTACTCCAGTGTATACTAACCAGTGTATACTACAGTGTACTCCAGTGTATACTAACCAGTGTATACTACAGTGTACTCCAGTGTATACTAACCAGTGTATACTACAGTGTACTCCAGTGTATACTAACCAGTGTATACTACAGTGTACTCCAGTGTATACTAACCAGTGTATACTACAGTGTACTCCAGTGTATACTAACCAGTGTATACTACAGTGTACTCCAGTGTATACTAACCAGTGTATACTACAGTGTACTCCAGTGTATACTAACCAGTGTATACTACAGTGTACTACTCTAGATACTACATACTAAGGAGAAAGGCCCCAGTTGTGACAGAAACCACAGACGTACGCACATAAATTGCCAGATAGACAAAAAAGTATATGTGCCAATAAGCTTCACTAAGAGATCTCTCAACGAGGGAGGAAAAGAGGGAGGGACTAAAGGAGGGAGGAAAAGAGAGAGGGAGGGAGGAAAAGAGGGAGGGAGGAACAGGAGTTGAGGGAGGCGGGAGGAAAGGAGGGAGGAAAAGAGGGAGGGAGGAAAGGAGGGAGGGGGGGGGGAGGGAGGAAAGGAGGGAGGAAAAGAGGGAGGCAGGGAGTAAGGAGGGAGGGAGGGAGGAAAGGAGGGAGGAAAAGAGAGAGGGATGGATGTGTGAAGGTATTTTTCTCACTGGAAATGCTCCCAGATATATAAGATGAGTATATATATATATATATGTACTGATTCAGTACTCGTGCAGTAAGAATATGCCACTATTATAATTCTGTCAAGTCTATCACTACTCCAAGTTACGCCGTATATAATGTTGACGATGATGGATCTTTTTCAGGCACAATGGTGTTATTATGACTGATACTGCACCTGCCCAATGAAATGTAAATGTCTTCGTTTTCAATAGGACCCTATGACCCAGGAAGTAGGTACGTTTTTTTTTTTGTCTTGTCATGGCGCAAGTAGACGATGTCATCCTTTTGTGTGTATCACAGCAATGAATGAGCAACAACTTGCGGTATTTCCAAACAGCATCAAATAAGTATTGTTAAGTTTAGACTGTATAGTGCCTTATAATACACGCCTATTTTGATCAAGTTAAAGTTATGTTGAAGGGTTATTGTGTGTTATGGTATGTATGTATGTTTACTGGAATATCCATTGTGTGTGTAATGTAAAAGGATTTTGTTGTTATCGTTGTGTTTAGTATGTTTTGATATGTTATGGGAGTTTATGGAAGGGTCATTAAGGAACGGGGGGTTTTCTCTCATTCACCTTCATCTAGGCAACAAATGACCAGCCTAGTGGAATGTCATTGGTTTAAACCCCAACATGGTCAACAGCTAGCTAACCTAGTGTAATGTCTTTGGTTTAAACCCCATCACGTCAACAGCTAACCTAGTGTAATGTCTTTGGTTTAAACCCCATCACGTCAACAGCTAACCTAGTGTAATGTCTTTGGTTTAAACCCCATCACGTCAACAGCTAACCTAGTGTAATGTCTTTGGTTTAAACCCCATCACGGTCAACAGCTAACCTAGTGTAATGTCTTTGGTTTAAACCCCATCACGGTCAACAGCTAGGCCCTCAGCATGGGATTTAAAAGAAGCGTTATCTGCACAATTTATGTTGATGAGAGTTGAATTCTGCAATCCTATGGCACCCTATTCCTTATATAGTGCACTACTTTTGACCAGAGGTCATAGGGCTCCGGTAAAAAGTAGTGCACTACATAGGGAACAGGGTACCATTTGGGACACGTGCGTAGTGTTTTGGGTATTGAGTCCTGACGATCGAATCTGTCAAGTCAGTCAAGCTTGACTGAGTCAGTGACATTATTTTTGTTCCAAAATGTCACATTGTTTAGTTTCTTTCCTTCATGGGGCTTGGTGTGTATTCTTGTGTTCCCTAGAGACTTCAATTTGACTCCTGTGAAAGTTTCCCATTTCAACAGGCGCCCCATTATGGGTTTGGCACAGACAGAGAGAAAACGGTCAGAAACAAGTCACACTAACTTCGCTACACTTCTACATAAAGATACAAGACAATGGCTTTGACGGTCGGGTAGAAAGTAAACGTGGCCCGGTCAAACCACCAATGTGCTTTCCATTCCATTCCAGTTGAAACCTCCCTTATTTAAAGAAAACAGTGAAACTTCTTGTCCTGACTGTGTCTGTATCCCAAATAGCACCTTACTCCCCATCGTAGTATATTCTACATATAGGGAATAGGGTGCTGTTTTCCAGACACAGCCTGTGTTAGTTAGAATTCTGTTGTCCGTTTTCCCTGGCTGTCGTTGATCATCTTAGAAAGCTCCGGTCCTGTTGTTAGTCTACACCGTCCTCTATGTACGACACAGAAAGCAAACGTGTTGGAAACTCGCTCATTCATTCATTCATTCATTCGTTCTTTGCAGCTTTGTGTTGTCCACCACCACCTCACTGTACATCTTACAGTGACACAGATCGTTGTTGTTGTTGTTGTTGTGTCCCAAATGATACCCTATTCCCTTTATAGTGCACTAGGACCCATAGGGCTCTGGTCAAAAGTAGTGCACTATATAGGGAATAGGGTGCCATTTGGGACGTAGACGCCCGTCTTTTTATATGCATGGTATGGTAGCCTACCAGGACTTTTGAGACGGCCCCTTGGCGGAACACCTTGATGGGAAGCACTTTCTCTCTTTGTACTATGCACTACTAATATACTACCACCACCCCTGTTGATTCTATTATATTCAGACATGGGTTTAAAATACTTAAAGCGTTTGCTCTAGCCTGTCTGGAGTGCCAGATGGGCGGGGTTTTGAAGTTTTGCGACTGTTCTATTGGTTCCATTGCGCCAGGCAAGCTCAACCAAGCCCAGATACAGTATTTTAAATGATTTCCCATGTCTGATTCTGATATCCCCCCCCCCACCCCCCACCCAAACTATGTTACTTGAACTTGTGTTTGTCATTTAATATCAACCCTAAATGCACACTACGTTGTGTATATGTAAATAACACAGAACACAAAGAATACATCTACAAATAAATACATATGAAATAAATAAAACAGATTTTAATTAAAGCATCTATCACGGTCACTTATGTGCAATGTCACCCTCTGGATATGCTGTACCACTAAAGAAAACTATAAACTATCACATAAATTAATAAATTAATCGTTATTTTCCCCCAAATGTATCATGTGGATGAATAAAACTGGAGTTTATAAATTGTTTTTTTTTTTTAAACAGAATATGGCGTGTTAAAAGGAAATAATCAAATTACCTCCGAACAACCTGTACATGTAAACGGTTTTCTGTTTTGAGTGAAACAACTGAATTTTATTTTCTTACTTCGGGCGACACGGAAGAAAAGAGGTCTGTATGAAATTCTGTTCTTTGTCGACACAAGTTTCATTTGTTACAAATAAACTCAAGTGAAAAAATGATGTGGGTGCTT